AACCCAAGGTTGGCGCCGGCTTTATGCGCTCCATGCTGATAAGCGAGTGCGGCGTAACCATAGAGGGCTATCGCAGCCCGTGGCGCGTAGCCCGGAATCCGTAACCCGTAAACCCATGCTGCAACCGTATCATGCAGTTGGAAAAACTGCGTTCGCAATGTCGAATGAAGGTCGCCGGTGTTTGCCGACCCGGCACACCCCTGCGTGTGTGTTAGTTGGCCAGTGCGGTGTGCGTTGTGTGTGTTCGCCGTTTGCCAAAACCAAATTATAAAAGATGATACATATTTTCACTGCGTGCTGCCGGCGTGTTTGGAGCATGGATCCCCTTGGCCTTGGTGGCATTTTCCGCATTTCCCCAAGTTGTGCCGGCGACATTTCTATTTTTGCATCGGTGCAAATCGAAGCGTATCGGCTGCTCTTCCGCTTTTACGTCTTTTGTTTTGGTCTCTTTTATCGGATGATTGTGATTGCAAGATGTTCGCCTTTTGGCCTTTCTTTTTGTTTACTTTTTGGGTCGATTGCTTTAGAAATCAAACCACTTAGCTCTCACAGTAGTAAAATAAATAATTTATATTTCAGTGTTTCGTACATTTTGGGTTTACACCATAAAATCACCTTACAAATTCAATTAATCATTTTTATTTAATTAAAACAAAATCAAAAAACTTGCCTTGGCAATGACACAATTTGACCCCAGTTTTTGTTATCTGAGGCAGAAACTTTTTAAGAATAAGTATGTAACTTAACAAAAATAAAAAAAAAAGCCAAGTCTTCTTCAATAATAGACCATATTAAGCTACAAAAAATGATAAATGAGATTATTTAAAAATAACTGTAAACAGAGTTATCAGCAGATAGTTAATAGCTCCTAATATTTTTAAAATCCTAATCCAATCATATCTCCCCAGTCATGGCGTGCTCCAGGATTGGCTGAATAAGATAAACCAAAGCGAGGGCGGAATGGATGGCTTTTCGACGGCTTACAAGCACTACGGGCTTCATTTCCAGCCGGACAATTCGGTAATTGCCCGGGAGTGGGCACCTGGAGCCAGAGATGTCTATCTCACGGGTGACTTCAGTGAGTAGTCCATCATTCCCAATCCGAATGATCACTTCTAAACGAATTCTTCAACCCCACAGACAACTGGCACTGGGAATCGCATCCGTTCAAAAAGCTCGACTTCGGTAAGTGGGAGCTCCACCTGCCACCCAACGAGGACGGCAGCCCGGCCATCAAGCACATGAGCGAAATTAAGATTATCATTCGCAACCATTCCGGTCAATTGCTGGACCGCCTGTCGCCCTGGGCCAAGTACGTGGTGCAGCCGCCCAAGTCGGCCAACCAGGGGGTCAACTACAAGCAGTACGTGTGGGAGCCACCGTCCTACGAGCGCTATCAACGCCAGCACCAGGGTCCGCCTAGACCCAAGTCGCTTAGGATATATGAGTGCCATGTGGGTATCGCCTCTCAGGAGCCGCGGGTCGGCAGCTACGACGAGTTTGCCGATCGTATTGTGCCGCGCATCAAGCGTCAGGGCTATAATTGCATCCAGGTTATGGCCATCATGGAGCACGCTTACTACGCCAGTTTCGGCTACCAAGTGACCAGCTTCTATGCGGCCTCCAGCCGTTATGGCAACCCGGAGCAGCTGAAGCGCATGATCGACGTGGCCCACTCGCACGGCCTTTTCGTTCTGCTCGATGTGGTCCACTCGCATGCCTCCAAGAACGTACAGGATGGCCTGAACCAGTTCGATGGCACCAACAGTTGCTTCTTCCACGACGGAGCCCGTGGCGAGCACTCGCTGTGGGACAGTCGTCTCTTCAACTACGTCGAGTACGAGGTGCTTCGTTTTCTGCTATCCAACCTGCGTTGGTGGCACGACGAGTACAACTTCGATGGCTATCGCTTTGACGGAGTAACCTCTATGTTGTACCATTCCCGTGGCATTGGGGAGGGCTTCAGCGGCGACTACAACGAGTACTTTGGCCTGAACGTCGACACGGATGCCCTCAATTATCTGGGACTGGCCAATCATCTGCTGCACACCATAGACTCGAGGATTATCACTATTGCAGAGGTAAGCTATGCGTTTTTGTTATTCCAGAATGCCTGTTCACAATTAATTTTTTACAGGATGTTTCTGGAATGCCTACCCTGTGTCGCCCCGTTTCCGAGGGTGGTATCGGATTCGACTACCGCCTGGGTATGGCCATCCCAGACAAGTGGATCGAGCTGCTAAAGGAGCAGAGTGACGATGAGTGGGACATGGGCAATCTGGTGCATACGCTGACCAACCGTCGCTGGATGGAGAACACAGTGGCCTACGCAGAGTCCCACGATCAGGCGCTGGTGGGCGACAAGACGATCGCCTTCTGGCTGATGGACAAGGAGATGTACACGCACATGTCTACATTGTCGGACTCCTCATTGATCATCGACCGAGGACTGGCGATGCACAAGATGATTCGGTTGATCACGCACGCCCTGGGAGGCGAGGCGTACCTGAACTTTATGGGCAACGAGTTCGGACATCCCGAATGGCTGGACTTCCCGCGCGTTGGCAACAATGATTCGTATCACTATGCTCGCCGGCAATGGAATCTGGTGGACGACGATCTGCTGAAGTACAAGTACCTCAACGAGTTCGATCGAGCCATGAACGAGACCGAGGAGCGCTACGGCTGGCTGCATTCCGGACCCGCTTGGGTCAGCTGGAAGCACGAGGGCGACAAGATCATCGCTTTCGAGCGTGCCGGCCTGGTGTTCGTCTTCAACTTCCATCCCCAGCGAAGCTTCACCGGATACCGTGTGGGCACCAACTGGGCGGGCACCTACCAGGCGGTGCTCTCCTCAGACGATCCACTCTTCGGCGGCCACAACCGCATCGATGCCAACTGCAAACATCCCTCCAATCCGGAGGGCTACGCCGGTCGCTCCAATTTCATTGAGGTCTACACGCCGTCACGCACCGCCGTGGTCTACGCCCGCGTCAGTGACTAGTTAGTAAACGCAATTATCCGGGTCGGACCGGGTCTATAAAAATGTTAATGCCTAAACGAATTTCACATTTAGTCATAGTGCTTGTTAATGTTACGAATCGGGATGCCATCATTGAAATATATGCTCACTGAGGTATAGTTTTCTAAAATTGTTTTTTCATTATGGTGCAACCATAAATTAGTTAAATCATTTTAAAAGTACCTAATCATTGAAGTTGATCAAATCAATTTTTGAAGCTCTGATAATTAAAATACCATTATAATGTTGGAATACGAGTTTGAACACAGGTTAATAGCTTATTATTCGATTATTATTTGCCGAGTAACATGCATTCCATTCATCTACTTTTACTAGCCAGTTACCCATTCTGGAGTGTCGTGAGTCAAGCTGTGTCCCCATATTCCTTGAAGTCCATGTATATGTGTGATATTTTGCAGCTCAGTGAACCCCTCACCGTTTACAAACTTAAAAATATTGAGTGCTCAACCGCGCCTGGATTTTCAACGAACGCTTCGTGCTATGTAAGAGCAGTAAATTGGAACAAGGCCGTGGCTGAAATGGATGTCGATCTGCTGAGACCTTTGTACAATATAACAGTGAGTTCGGCGGACTTCCCTACTCACCTGAATACTCCACTAACCAGATAATCCCAAGGTTCGGTTACAGATCCTCAAGAGGGACTACAGCAATAAGTTCCAGCCCTTCCTCATAGACGTTCAAATAAACATGTGCGATGCACTATCCAGGCGTAGCTTTATGCCGTATGGCTTGATCCTTCTGAAAATTACAAGGTCGTTCTCAAACTTTAATCACTCCTGTCCATATTGCGGTCACTTGCTAGCACGTGGCGCATATTTAAACGAATCCATCTTCCCCAACGTATTTCCCCTGGGTTTCTACAAATTAAACATTACGATTATGGAAAACTACAGAGCTTCGCCGAGCGCACACGTTGGGGGTGTTGTCTGGTACGTCCAGGTCATGGAGGCAATCCAGCCAAAGAAGAAACCCAACCGAGGCGACCAAAAGCGCAGAAGTCAATGAATACGTAATGTTTTGTTTTTTTTTGTTTTAAATTTGTAAAATTGTATTTTTGTTGTTTATAATAATATATGATTATATGTATATGCATGCGTAAAGTAATATTAGCTTTAAAATTTGTATTATACATAATGTAGGCTACTTGAGTTGCTTGATTTGTAGGCCAGGGCCACGTTGCCCGCAATCAGCAATCAACCAGGTCGTCCTCGTTGAGCTCCTTAATTGTATACTAGAATCGTTGAAAAGTATGTACCAAGCAGAAGGAAAAGTTTCCGACCATATAAGTTATATATATTCTTGATCAGGATCGAGTCGATCTGGCCATGGCCCAAAGTTTAAGTTCTAAACTCCATAACTCAACTTATCCTAATCGGATTTTGAAGTGCTATACCTCTAAATGTTTCTGGCGCAATTCTCTAAAAATCTGCATTCTTTTTTAGAAATTTATTTTTTTTTTAATTTTTTTAAAATTTTTTTGATGTAGAAATTTAAAAACTTTAAATTTTAAATTTTTAAAAATTTTAAAGAAATTTTAAAACTTTTAAAAAATGTTTAATTTTTTTTTGAAAATTGGAATGTTGAAATTTTTCGTTTGCACTTCCAATAGCTGAGTAACGGGTATCTGATAGTCGGGGAACTCGAGTTTCTTTCAATCTATCTTTCGAATATTGGACAACAACTGACGACGGAAGAGTGAATGAATCAATGAATCAATTGAGTGTAATGAGTATGTGATGTGTCGGATGTAAGTACACAAATGCACATTAGTTATGTCGTCATTTTAAAAGTTTGCTAATAACAAAGTTGTAAGCATCGCTTACAAATCTTGATTTGTAGCACCCAGAATTTTATATATGTATCTATGGTATATTGTGTATAATGACAATGGTTTGTACATTATCATCGAAGTTGATGAAAGTCAATGAAGCAATTAATGGAGCTTTGATATTTAGAACCACACTAGAACTTTGGGATACGAGTTTGAACACAGGTTAATAGGTTATTATTCGATTATTATTTGCCGAGTAACATGCAATCCATTCATCTACTTTTACTAGCCAGTTACCCATTCTGGAGTGTCGTGAGTCAAGCTGTGTCCCCATATTCCTTGAAGTCCATGTATATGTGTGATATTTTGCAGCTCAGTGAACCCCTCATCGTTTATAAACTGAAAAATATTGAGTGCTCAACCGCGCCTGGATTTTCAACGAACGCTTCCTGCTATGTAAGAGCAGTAAATTGGAACAAGGCCGTGGCTGAAATGGATGTCGATCTGCTGAGACCTTTGTACAATATAACAGTGAGTTCGGCGGACTTCCCTACTCACCTGATTACTCCACTAACCAGATAATCCCAAGGTTCGGTTACAGATCTTCAAGAGGGACTACAGCAATAAGTTCCAGCCCTTCCTCGTGGACGTTCAAATAAACATGTGCGATGCACTATCCAGGCGCAGCTTTATGCCGTATGGCTTGATCATTCTGAAAATTACCAGGTCGTTCTCAAACTTTAATCACTCCTGTCCATATTGCGGTCATTTGCTAGCACGTGGCGCATATTTAAACGAATCCATCTTGCCCAACGTTTTTCCCCTTGGCTTCTATAAATTAAAAATTACGATTATGGAAAACTACAGAGCTTCGCCGAGCGCACACGTTGGGGGTGTTGTCTGGTACGTCCAGGTCATGGAGGCAATCCAGCCAAAAAAGAAACCCAACCGAGGCGTCTAAGTAAATGAATATGTAATGTTTTATTGCTTTAAATTTTTAAAATTGTATTTTTATTGTTTATAATAAATATATATTTATATACGTAAAGTAATATTAGCTTTAGAATTTGTATTATACATAATGTAGGCTACTCGAGTCGCTTGATTTGTAGCTTTCCGCTTCGTTCTTAGTTACAGTATATCTTACAGAAGTGCAACTCAGTTTTGCTTATTTGTCTTAGAGTACATACTACAAGCTATTTTAAATCATTGTCTTCCATCGGTTAAAGTATCTTAGTTATCCTAGGCTTAACCCTAGCTTCGCTTAGCCTAACGTGTGTGGTTTCTGTATTCTTGGGCCGCTGGTTTCGCAAGAATGGGTTAAAAAAATACTTTAGTCTAAAGTATCGGGCCTACAACTTAGAGTAACGTTAGGTCGGTGCTATGCTTGAATTCCTATTTTCCTATACGAATGGCATAACAAGATTGCAAATAAAATATAATATATATATGTAAAGAATATACAACATGGCAAAAGAAAGTGTAATGACAAGGGTGGCGGGGTACACGGATGGGAATAGTTAACAAAAATAAATAAATAGATTGAGAACTTATCGAATAAATACTACATGAAATACGTTGCATAGTTGCCTGTCCATCTCTCATTATGCAAGGAACAAATTATATTATAAGTATTTTTGAGAACGCTCCCGGTAGTTACAAAGTGAGCTATCCTTCAGGGAAGCGGAACCGTTCTCGCAAAACTAAATTACGCTAAACATATTCTAGCCCGCACTGTAGGCAGGTGAAATAGTTACAACTGGTTTGGGGTGTGTGTCTCGTGTTTGCACTTAAATGTTTAAAATTTAGCTTAGGCGTAGAAATTATTTAAATTTACGATGCTCTTAAGTTTGCCGTGAACCGAATACTCGTACATCCATTCGCGTGTGTGTGCTTTTCTGTGTGTTGAACAACATTTGATTTATATTCTTGTAGGCATTTGGTTTTTTGAGTAAAAAAATAAATTTCGTTTGCACATCCAACAGTGTGGTAATATCAATGAGTTAGCTTGGCTTATGTTTGAGTTAATATTCTTTCCATTTGGTGGCCAAATGTGACGATTTTTGAAGTATTCTAAAATCCTTAAAACATTTGTACGTTGCCGACGGCACAGAGCTGAGTTCCAGCTTTGCGCCATGGGCAACCGAATCTGCGCTGAACAGCTTAGAGATTTCTAAAAGAAGTAAGTGGTCGGCATTATGGTGGCACTGTTCAAAAATCGACCCATTTGGCCACCCATTAGCCCCTACGCGGCGAACAACTGAGCAGCAGCAGCAGCGGCAGCCTGTTGCTGTTGTTGCTGCTGCTGCTGTTGCTGCTGCTGCTGCTGTTGGGGAGTTGTGGCCAGGATGGGAATGGCCGTGCCGTCGGCGGTCAGGATCAGGGTCTGCGTGGCCTGGGGTGCCGACGTGGCCTGAGCCTGCGACGCCGGTTCGGTGGCCAGGGCCACGTTTCCCGGCAACGCAATCAGCTGCTGCTGACCCGCCTTGCTGGGATGCGGCACCTGGGTGGCGGCGATTATACTGCCATCGGCCGACTGCAGCAGGATGGTGTTGGCCGGCAGATTGAAGCAGGTCACGGTGCCGTTGGAGGCCACCGTCTGCAGCTGCAGCGGTGGCGGTTGGGGGGCCAGCAGCATGGTGGCGCCCGTTGTGGCTGTCGCATTGTTCGTGCTGCTCAGATCGAGGCCATCGGCGGTCGTCGCCTCTTGCAACTCCGGCTGCTCCTGGCTGGGCTCCTCGTCGATAACCTCCTCGACCAGGTCGTCCTCGTTGAGCTCCTCGATGATGTCGTCGTCGTTCTCTATGTAACCGGAAGCCTCCACGCCGGAGCTAACCAAATTGACGACACCCGGCGGCGAGGGTGTTGGCGTGGGCATGGCCAGGTAGTTCTCACCCGACTTGGCCGTCACGGCCGTGCCCTTGGGTATGCGGAACTTTCGCAGGATCTGGGCAGTCGAGGAGGAGAGCCCAGCTAGGGCAACTGCGTCCTCATCCAGCTCCTCGTCCAGCTCGTCGTCCTCGGCCAACAGCTCCTCCTCGACCACTGGCTGCTGTTCTGGGGCGACGATAACTTGGCGCTGATTGCGATTGGATGCATTGACGCGCACCAACGTAACGCCTCCGCCTCCGCTTCCGCTTCCACTTCCACTTCCAGTTCCCGTTCCGGCCTTGCTGTTGCCATTGAGAATGCTGAGCTGCGGCTGCTTGGCGGCACCACGAGCGGCCAGCAGAATGACAGGTGTCTTCTTGGCCGCCGGCTTGAGGCCATTGCTCGCGCTGCTGCTCACCACGGTGGACGCATTGTTGCTGCTGGCAGTGTTGCTGGTGGCGTTGCTGCTGCTGCCACCGCTGCTGCTGCTGCTGTTCGTGTTGGGAGGAAGGATTTCATTAGTCGCATTTCTTGTGGGTGGCGGCACATGGGACTGGGCAGGGGGATTGGGCATGGGGGAAGTTCGGCTCGCGTGGGTCACAAAGTCAGCGAACTTGTCGACGAAACTGCTGCCGTTGCTGCTGCTACTGCTACTGCTGCTGCTGCGACTGGTGATGCTGTTGCTGCAACTTGTGCTGCTGTCGGCAAGACGAGCACGGGCATTAGCCTGCTTGACGATGATCTCTTCGTAGTAAATGCGATACGCTTCCACTTGCCGGCGCTGCGAATCATCTTGTGGTGTGGTGTTATTGGTCTGACTCTGACTCGGATTCGGATTCAGATTCGGATTCAGATTCTGATTTTGGATCTGATTCGGACTTGGATTGGTGGTGGTGTTCTGGGTTCTGTGGTTGTTGCTGGGTGTTGTGGTGTTGTATGGCCGCTTGAAAATTTGTTTCTGGTGGTTGTCGTGTTTAGAAGAACCTGTTGTTGTTGTTGTTGATGTGGTTGTTGTGTCGCATGATCATGAATTTTTGTGTGCAAATCATAGGGAATAACACAAAAACACAAACAACAGACGAACGCAAAATGTTGTCGGGTGAAAAAGAAAAAATAAAAACAATTTGATTAGCATATTTGCTGATTTCTCATTTCAATTGGTGTTAGTTTCGATCGTTTCGACTCCTTTCAGTTAATTTTTGTTGTTAGATATGCTTAAATCAAAGTTAATTTTGGTTAGTAAATGATAAGGGCACTTATGACTGATAGCTTAAATGGATCGAATGTGGATGTGTGAATGGATCAGATAGTGTTGCTCCCGGATGGTCAGAGGCTAGTAATCAGTGGTCAGTGGTCAGTGGTCAGTGTTCGGTAGATGCCGCTTCAGATACTCGCACCCCATGTACACAAAAGTATCTGATTTAGTGGGCAATGGTTATTGGGATGCAGTTACCCAAGGGACGTGGGTTAGTAAGTAACAAAACAGAAAAGTGTTATGCAAAACAAAATGGGAAACGAGAAAATAAGGCGAATAAACAAAAGTACACATACCTTTCACTAATTGTCCAATATTTATTATACGAGTATGTTTTTATTATTTTTTATGTGTGTTGGAGATCATTTTTTGCTTGTTTGTTTGTATCTTTCGACTATTGGTTGTTGGTTGTTGCTCGTTGCTGCTCTTGCACAGGCACACACAACAACTGACGACGGAAGAGTGAATGAATCAATGAATCAACCGAATACAATGAGTATGTGATGTGTCGGATGTCGGATAAGTACACAAATGCTTCGCTAAGTTAGTTTTTCTTGGGTTATTATTTATATGCTTGGCCGCTGATCTGGGCAAACATTGAAAATGGCTTCCATTTGTGTTGCTTTCGAATAATGGTTAGGTGGTATTCACTTTTATACTCGTTTCGTTTGGCTATCGTATTCATTGCGAACTCAGTTGTTGAGTCTTGTATTCGTTAAATAGAATTTTTGGTACTTTGGCTGCAGCTTTCTGTGTCGATCATTTTATTCAGAGAGCTAATAGCACTGCCTCTGATATATCGTAGCTATAGTTAGGAAGCGTTTTTATTTATTTTGTTTTGAGCGGGTATTATATTGTTGGGTTGTTGATTTGATTGATTGTTTGATTGATTGGTTGGTTGGTGGGTTGGTTGTGTGTACATAAAATAAAACAAGAGAAAAGAAAGAAAAAGAACAAAATTGCATTGAAGTATAAAACGTATTTGAACACAAGTATTTCTCGAAACAAAAAGGGGTTCGAATGGGTTATCGTGATTAATTCGGGGTATTAATTTGGTAATATTCGATGGCATATCATTTTACAAGGAAGCAACAACAAGCCACACAAGGAACAATCTATTCGAAATAGAGTGCGATACCTCAGTGGGTTTATGATTGGTAAATAAATAAATGCACAAACTTCAATTCATACGACTAAAGTAGCAACTGAAAAACTCGGTTCAAGACTACCAAGTTATATAATACGTAATAAATAAAGATGTACATAATGATTGATTACAAAATAATACAACTAAGATATGCATAATCCTAATTTAAAACTAAACAAGTCAATACTTAACGTAGCCCCCCTCCTTCCCCTAATGTTCAGTTTTCATGTTTTGTAGGCGGCCATCGGGTGTTTAGTGTTTATTTTTCTGTATTATGTACACCGTCGATTCGCGATTCTAAATACGTGAAAGAAAGACCGGAGTCGCAGTCGCAATAAAGGGGTTACGGTGGCAGAGATAGCAATATGTATAGGGTTTTAGATACAGGTACAGATACAGAGATATGGTACAGATACAGTTACAGATACAGAGCGGCAATCTAATCGAGCGCGTTACACTAAGAGAAAAGTCGGGCAGACAGGGGGGGAGTGGGCAATAGTGGGTTTGGTTAGTTGGAAAGAGCGTTTACCTAATTTCTTTGGTTTCCAGCAGCGACGAGGTGTTCACATCGTTCACCGCATTGATCATCGAGGTGGGCGAGAAGGGCAGGTGGTACATGGAGGCGGTGTCCAGGGTGTAGGCGTCGCCGCCCTTGATCAGCAGCTCGTTCTTCAGCTCCATGAACTGCTGGTGCGGATTGTGGTGCGTGGCGAAGGGCTGTTGCTGCAGTAGTTGCGTCTGCTGGTGGTGTTGCTGCTGGTGGTGGTGGTGCTGCTGCTGCTGCTGGTGGTGCTGCTGGTGCTGGTTCTGCGCGTCCAGCGCATTCGCATTCAGCGTGGGCTGCGCTCCGGCGTGCGTGGTGAAGGTGTATTGCGAGTAGGGACACAGGTCGCCCAGCTCGGCCGTCTCCAGCTTGGGTTGGAAGTTCTGCAGGCCGTCGGGCGTCAGGATCTGATAGCTCTGAACTGTGCCGATCACGTGCTGCTGCTGCTGCTGTTGTTGTTGCTGCTGCTGCTGCTGCTGCTCGACCGACGTCGGAGTGGCCGCCGCCGTGGAGCTTAAATAGGTCACGTTGTCCAGCTCGTAGTGAGGTTGCTGTTGCGTCTGGCTGGCGGGCTGCTGCGCTGGCTGTTGCTGCTGCTGCTGCGTCGTCTGATATGTGGCCGTGGTCTGTTGGCGCTGAGCCTGCGGCGCCGTTGTGTATATCGCCTGGGTTCCGTCCAGCTGCAGGGGCACAAGGTTGCCGGCTTGATCCTGGATCATGATGCTCTGGCCGTGCAGCTGCTGTTGCAGCAGCGCCTGCTGCAGTTCCAGTTGGTTCGAGTAGATCAACGTGGTGGTGGGCGCCGCCGGCTGACCATTCGGCGTGGCTGGTCCTCGCTGCAGTCCCACGGAGCTGGTGGCGCCCGGATTGGCCAGTGCCAGCTGTGCACCTCCAGGCAGAATCATGCCGCTGAAGTCCAGCGAGGGCAGCGTCTGCAGCTGATGCTGCGGCTGCGACGGCGTCGAGGGTGCCAGCGTTGTGATGCTGTGCTGCATCTGTTGCTGCTGCTGCTGCTGCTGCTGCTGCTGCTGCTGGGGGTGACTCACGCTGACCGCCGCCATCGTCATGGACTCCCCATTCTGCACGTCGTCCAGAACACTGTCGATCTGGGCCAGCCGCTTCTTGGACGGCGTACTGCCATCGCCGCCCTTCGTCTTGCGAACGCGCGGAGTGCGGGAGTTACGCGCCCGCTTAGCCGGCGGACCGTCGGCCTTCAGCGGAGTCGTGGTGGCCGATGGCGGCATGGGCACGTCGCCGTGCTTGTCCTTCTTGTGCATCTTCATTTTATCGGGACGCGAGAACTCCTTGTTGCAGATGGGGCAGGCGAATATCTTGCGATTTTGGCCCTCGTGAAAGAGGTAGGCGTGTCGCTGGAAGCTGTACTTGTTCTTGAACGTCTTAAAAATGTCGTTCTTGGCACAGACCAGGCAGTAGGCAACGCCGTCGATGATGTGCTCGTAGCGGGCAATGTCCAGGCCACGTACACTCATCTTCTCCAGGTACTCGCCCTTCTCGTCGTCGGCGATGACGCGCGTCTTGCGCTTGCGCTTCTGCTTGGCGGCCGCCGCCGATCCCGATTTGGGCACCATTGAGGACAGCACCGTGGTGCCGGATCCCGGCTGGTCCTGGCTGATCGTGTAGCTGGTGGTGCCGGCTGCCAGCTCCGCCGCCTCGGCCTCCACCTCGGCCTTGATCACCTGGAACTCCTCGTACTCGTGCTCCTGATCCGCATCGTGCTCGTTTTCCGCATCGTGTTCGAGGCTCTGCTCCTCGTACTTCACCTGCAACAGGCCGTTCTCCTCGTCGTCCTCCTCGTCGCCAACGACTCCGTGCTGGGGATCGTACTTGATTATGTCGGCGGCCACGGCACTGCTGCCGTTGCTCAGGCAATCGCTGCTGCCGGGCTCGCTTTTGAGTACGTGGTACTCCTCGTACGTGCTCCCATCGAACTCGATGATCGTGCCGTCCGTGTTGACCAGGGCCGTGGTGGTCGTGGTCGCGGCTGAGTTGGCCTGCGACACGGGAACGGGCGTTGGTGCGGCGGAACTGACCGCTGGCATTCCGCCGTTGTAGTTCTCGAACACTATGGTGGTCGGAGTTTGTCCATCCTCGCCGGTGGTGGTGATATAGTGGTAATGTTGCTGTTGTTGCTGCTGCTGCTGCTGTTGCTGCTGTGTGGCGGCGATTGTGTCCACTCCGTTGGTGTGGGCGTTCGTGTGCAGGATGGAGGACGAACTAATAGTTGTGACCACATTGTCTTTTGTTTATATATATTTTGAAAATACATATTTGGTTTGGTTCATAAAAGATGTGTTTGAATGTAATATTTGCATAAATCAATAAATCAATTCGTAATTGAAATCGAAATCAATCAACAATTCACTCAAATCAGGTTCGCATAAAACAAATGTGCAAAATGAAAGCTACTTGCGGCCAACTTCATACACGCAACTGCAACAGATGTAGTGCATCTGCTGCGTTTGCGGACGGGCCTCTTCATCGAATCGATTGGAAACGGCAATACAGGACATATAGATAGAACGTGAGTGAATTGGTTTTTGTTTGTCGGTAGAATTTGTGTTTACTTAGATCTACATTACAGCAATCGTAATCGTAACTCTGGTACAGTACTCGCAACTCAATACGTACTAAATAAAGTTAAATAAATAATCGACTTCAGTAACTGAGGTGGTAACAGGTGGATAGAGCAGAGGATGAAACTGGTGTGTGTGTGGCCAACGTTGGTCAGACTCCTCCTCCTCCTCCTCCTACTTTTGCCGAGGAGCAGGAGCTGGGAACGGATTGTGTTCGTGTTGTGTCCAAAGAGTGGAAAACAATAAGTGACAGGTAGAAGGCGGGAAAGTGTCTTTGCTAAAAGTAACTAAATCATAAACGCAAATCTAAAAATTATAAACTCAATTTTCAAATTTGGCGCGCAAGTGCTGCCAGGAGACATGGGCGCGCGCATGGGCAGCACTGATGCACTCATTGGCCTCACTGCTTGGGCGCCAAACTTTGAACTTTGCAAAACCTTAAACTAGCTAATAAAGTAAAATAATACGTGATCGACAATTGTTTTTGAGCCTTTTTCGACGCGTTACTGTCTTGCACGGAGCTCCCTCGGTTGAAATGATTTGTGCATTTATTTATGTGATTGTTCCAATGCTCTCGACAATTCGAGAAGAGACAGGACACAGACCTGGGAAAGGGTGTCGCAAATTAAAGACGAGCATGTAGTGTGTGGAGCAGTTGAAAGCGGTTGTTGTTATTAATTGGGCGATGCGTTTGGATTGGATTTCTGACTGGATTGATTGAGACAGGTCGGTAATGGTTAATTGAAGATTTCATTGCCTTTTTATTTCATTTCGTTTATTATCGTTTTTATATGGTTTCTTTTGCTTTTTTGGGAGACAACTTTGGCAAAGTTGTGACAAGAACACGGAACACAAATGGAAGTCAAATTCACTGTTTGTTCTCATTCGAAACGTACTCCCTTAGTGGCGCGTTTGAATTTCGGCACAAAATGTTGATAAATAAAAATGGAGTTTTCAATTTGGAATGGCAAGATGATAACGAATGGACGACATGGATGTGCGACAACACTTACAGAACGAAACAATTGATTGGATTCGAAAGTTGGCCAATTCGAGTGACGGTCGAAATCATAATTGTGTGAGTTTGTATTTACAATGAGAGCGGTTAGTGGTAATAGCTTCAACTGAAACACCAAATACGAGTACACAAGAGGGTTAAAACCATACACAAAGACTACAACCAACAAACAAATTAACGTAAAGCGAACAAATTCAAGTTGGACACTTACCGGCAACACTGGTTGCAACATTCTGTTGCTGCTGCTGCTGCTGCGGACTGCTGGCCGTAGTTTGATATGTAGCCGTGGCGGCAGTCACGGCATGTCCGTTTGCATCACAGAGTATTTCATTTTGCAGCTGATAGACATTTCCATCCGTGCTCGCATATTGCTGCTGCTGCTGCTGCTGCTGCTGTGGAATGCCATTCAGGGTATTGGCCGCGGGCAACATGTTGACGTAGACAATCTGTTGCTGCTGCTCTTGACTAGACTTTGATGTGGATGCTTCTATGGCTGCTGTTGCTGCTGCTGCTGCTGCACTCGCTTGACTTAGTTTTGGTATCTTGCCCTCAAATTTACGCGATTGTTGCATGAACTGCAGCGACTGTCGCTCCTTTTTGGCATCTGAAAAACGTCAATCGATAGAGTTTAGTACTTGATCGAGCAGGGATTTCAATGGTTTGTGATTAAATGCGGTTGATACGGTTACTGTTGGTGTAAACACACAGACACACATATGTGGACTCGGGGGTTTTCTGGGTAGGAGGCATTGCAATTGGGTGGAATGAGGGTGAGTAGTCAAAGCGAAAGAGCAAGTGAAGCGGATTCTGGGTCAGCAAAACAAGAGGAACGGATCAGGCCCAGACAGCACCAACACCTTGGATTCGGTTTAGTAAAACAGTTTTGGTTTTCGGTTAGTTTTTAGCATAGACTTAAAAGCGTGATCGTATATTTCTCTGACGCACTCTTACAATTAGAACGATTTATTTGTACATTGAACGCAAAACAAAAACGATGAAATGCATGTGGAACGGCTTGAAACATTGTCAATTTGGTTAGAACAAAAAAATGCTGTGGAATTTGGAACGATTGTTGTTGCTAAAGAAGGGAAGTGGAAATTGGGGCATTGGGTTCAAGAATTTGGATGGCTTGGAGGTGGACAGGTGAAGCTGTGATTATGTGGATGCAGTGGTGCAGTGGCTGCTTAAGCTGCTGCTCTCACCTCCTCCGCCATCTGCTACTGCTACTGCTACTGCTACTGCTGCTGTTGTGGTTGTGGCTAGGGATGTTGTTCCAGCGACCACTGCCGATGTGGCTGTTTTCACGGCAGTTGCAGCAGAAGTAACCGCCGGAGATGTGCTACTTGCGTCCTTTTTCCGCCGCGCAGGAGTCTTTCGGGGCGTGCCGCTGGCCTTGCCGCGCCTTGCGCCCCGCGACGTCGAAGAAGTGGAGGAGGCTGGCGATATGGAACGGTCGTCCTTGGTGCGGGGACTACGTCCGCGACTGTTTCGCGAGTTACTCTTGCGCTTGGACGCCAGCCAATCGTCGTCGTAGTCGGCATCGTAGCGCCGCTTCTGCTTGCGCCGCTTGAAGTCCTCCTCCTCATCATCATCTTCTGTTAACAAGCAAAAGGGGAAGACAAAGAACAAATGCGAGAAAGGAAACATATTATAGTTCAGCTGGGGAAAGGGGGAGATCGTTTTGAAAGGGCACCAGCCGGCCCACACACCTGTGCCGTCGTCTATGTACTCAAGCAGCTCCTGCTTGGTCTTCAGAACCGCCGGACTCTGTAGACTCATGGCATCCTCGTTGGGAAAATCAGCCTCATCGGTGGCCAGATCGCCCGTGTCCAGCGTCAGCACGCTCTCCTTCAGCATGGCCTTGACGTCGTCGGGCACGTTGGGATTCTGCTGGATTTCATCCAGATCCAGATCGGGATTACGCTCTTTGAAACTCTTGGCCTTGGTGGGATTGCATTGCTTTTTCATTCTGCGGAGGAGCAGGAGATAGGAATAAGACACGCTGAAAGCCCTAGGGAGCGCAAGGAAACCTACTTTTTATCACACAGCAAGACATCGAGGTGTGGTGGCAGGGGAGCTGCACTGGGCACCCCGTTCGGCGGATCCTCCGGATGCCGCCCCACATCACGCCCCTCCATCCACAGATCGTAGCGATCGCTTTGGAAGCGCTTGACAAATGTGTCCATTGAGATCTTGACCATGTCGTTGCTGCACGTGCACTGCACCGCCCGCTTGCCGTACTCAATCCAGCGCTCCATGGCAAAGTTGGTGGACTCGGCACAGTTGAAGCCGTGATTGAAGCCGGCATGGTAGCCGAACGGAAACGTGATCATGATCTCGCCCGCCTCCTGCGTGATCTGCAAGAGCCGGATTTAGTACGGCCACTAGGGACTTGATTACTACCGATAAACGCACCTTACTGACGGGCACGTCGTGTTGCTTGAGAATCTGTGGTGATATCAACGTCATCTTGTGGCGCAAGTATGCGTTGCAATTCTTGTAACTGGCCGGAAAGTATTGGTTGGCCACCTTCTCCAGTTTGCGACCACACTCCGGCGGCACCACATACCACGTCTTTGGCGCCCCAAAGTGCAAGTAATTGATGGAATAGAGGTCCATGTCCTCCGTGTGCCATGCGAAGGTCGTCTTCCACATGCCAAAGTACAAGTAAGCTGTGTTCACGCCATCTATCTGGATGTTATAATCCTTGTTGACATAGTCAAGAATAGTACCCAGCCGGTTGATGTTCCAGCTCTGCAACGGCAAAGGCAACGAATCATCAACTAGAGCCCAAACCTAAACCCTAACCCTAACCCACTTACATCCTGGTCGGTGTCTGTGATGCTTCCGCTAACATCTGCCCCATAAATGGGCGCCACATATGTTATGTTCTTCCAGTACTTGCGCTCCAGATCCTCAAAGTCAAAGTGTTTGGGTGTGGCGTAACGCTCGGTGCTAGCCAACTCGCTAAACTGCTTCACAGTAAGTGGCTTTTTCTGGATGTTGATCTGCTGATAGTAACCCTGCTTGCCGGTTACCACCTGGCATATGGGCGCTGGAATCGTGACATTCAGGGCATCGAGATCGGCGTACCCACTGCGACGGGGCACCCACTCCGGCGGAGGCACCACCTTGGCCAGTCCGGCTTTGTGGGCGCCCTGTGACTCCATGTAGGCCACATACTTGGGAAAGTCCTTGAACTCCTCCCAGGTGGGTCGAAAGACCATGATGCGTGGCACCTCTGACATTTTCATTCTCGTCTAAGCTTTTCTCTGCCTTTTTTTTCCTAATTCCGACTTGTTGTCGGACTTTCAAATCCTTAAACCGAGACACTTTTCTCTCACAGCTCGGGCGCTTCGATCTGGAACTGTGATAGAAGCAGCATTAAAACTCCGTACTCCCGTGCACGGCCCATTAATCCCGGGCAGATGCCATTCATGGCCAGTCCGTCTGCCTGCCCCGTTGCTAAGCGCTCGGCGATCGGATCGTTTGGGATCGGCATTATGGCTGGCACTCACAAAACAAACAGAGAAGGAGTGCTGAGGGAACAGCTGCAACTTTTCGAGGTTTTCTTTTTTTTTTTTGTTAATGGGCGCGGCAGCTACAACAGCAGGCAGGCAGGACGACTGGCAGGAGAATAGAGGCTGGCAGGATATGCAGTTGCCGTTTCCCCCGCCCCTGTCATTCGAGTGGTTTTCCTCATGGGCCAGCAGGACCCGCAATAACCCATAGGAACCCATAAAAAGTGCAATGATCGTTCGTTTGATATCCTTACTAACTACGGTGAAATGTTGCAAATTGAATAAGTACGATATCAGATTTCATGCAGAACCGGCTGAAAAGTTGTGAGTTAAAGGAAGAAGCGGTAATGTGGAAATTATGTATGTTGGCTGAAAATGGTTAATACATTCATTTCTTATCGAACTTTATTTTGATTAAATATTTCATGTATTAGAGTAATAATTATGTGTACTAATTTTACTAGGCTGATATAACATAATATGTAAGTGAAATATTAATTAATAATGATAAATGTATACAAGTTAGCCAAAAAGTATTAATGTTCCTGAATTTCAAATTTCAAATCGGACTGACAAACTGAATAATTATTTAAAATTAAAGCCGTATGTGAACACACAAAATATGTATAAACGATCACCGACAGGATTAAGATAACTTAAAATAATAAATTTATGTCATGTATTTTTAATTTCTTTCATAATAGGTAGATTTTACACAATCCTTTAATTAGGTTTATTAACCGGTAGAATTAGCATACAAAATAATTGAACTAAAATTAATATAGAACTATTTCTCCAAACTATTTTGTATACTATAGTTGTTTACTTTTTATAAATCTCAGGAGATAATTATGTGTTTCATATATGAATGACTTAAAAGTGTGAAACGTAAAATAAAACATAAGTACATGAGTCATGCGTGATTGAAAAATTTCTCTGTGTGTATTTCTGTATACGATAAGCCTCCCAAAAAAAAACACAATAAATCAAGATGAAGTGGATAATTAATTATTGAGCCCCAGGACGAACCGTTATTCCCATATCAAGTCATTTATAGGGATTGAAAACGCCCAATAAGCAAATGACACAAATCCGGCGACATCTTTTTCCCAGTCAATACAAATTTCAATGGTTTTTCCGTTTGTTTTTCCTATTTTCCGTACAAGCAGAATGGAAGCTCTGCAGGCCAGAGGAGCGGCAAGGATAACGATAACGAGGACAACGCTGTGCGAGACATCCCAGAGCACTAGATGAAAATTTACGCAATTTTTCGACCACGTAGAAAACTGTACCACCACCCGAGAATTTTTAGAGAGCGAGAAGACAAATAGCGAACGAGAGCGGAGAGCCGACGATGTTGGGGAAGGGGAGGGGTAACGGGATATCTGAGAGGGGGAGCTGACGAGTGCGCAAAACTATTTGCTAGCTGACAAGGGGAGAGCGAAAATGGTGGGAAGAGCGAGTGAGCGGGCAGGATATACTCGCTACAGAGGGTAATCGGTATGGGCGAGTCGCAATGCAGCGAGTGCGTATGCATATGTGTATGTGTGTGTGTGCGTGTTTACGAATATGTGAGTGTGTTTGTGAAAGGACGAAATTTGGAACTCACTTGTGATGTGCTTTGATGGGTTTTTTTTGTTCTGCTTCTCTAGTTTGTTCGATGCTCTCCGTGCGTAAATCCCAACAAAATGTCAAAAGTAATTTTGTAACTATATGAGCAACTCCTGCTGGATGGGACTGTTGTTCCGGATGCTACTGCTTTGCTTTTGCTTGAGTTGATTGGTAGTTTATTGCACATATTTTTTATTGTGTATTTGCATATAAAACTTTTGCTGCTTTTTAACTAACTGTAACTAATTTGCACAATTTGATGTTTTATACGATACACTTGAGCACTATTTTCAGGGTTTTGCAATTCTTATAGAATGATTTAGCTTTGGTTTTGCTGTGTGATTGGTATTAATTTATGTTATCCTGCAACATCTGATGGCGTCGTTGTTTTGCGTTTTACACAGTCTTCGACTTGATGGCTGCTGCTCTCTCTATTCGAGGATGTATATTTATATATATGTATATGTATGTGGATTGCTAACTGGCACTCACGACGGGCGCGACATGTCTGAGCGGTCTGAGTGGCAAGCGTCGACTGAACGGCAATTCGATGCCAGGACGATGGCGACGCAGGCGTCGAAAGAACTCGCTCTTCGCTCGCACTCACACTCACACACACAGCAGGCGCGCACACACAGACAGGCTCACGCACACACAGTCACGTCGCACAAGAGCGTTGTCCTTTTAATGCGAATGCTCTGGTCAAAGCATAATGCGAAAGGAAAATTGGTGTAGAGCAAGAGGGAGACGGCGCAAACAAGTTTGACAGGATAATTGTGGATAGGGAAATGCAAGCCGTGTGGAAAACTGGCAGTTTTAATCGCTCCTCCCTTTTCCTCTTTTCCTTTTCATCCGTGGCCCGAACAATGCCATTTTTCTGCTCTTTAGTTTCATTGCGAAAAGCAAATGTGGCGAACGGAAAAATGCATTCGCCATGCGAAACACTCTCTTCTGCAGTCGCAACTTCCATTCGCAAATGCTCTCTCTCTCTCTGCAGCTCAGTAGGCAGTCAGAGAAATCGCAAAGGACTTAATCCTCATTATGCATTGTCCTGCACGGATTTCGGATTTTGGCGAAGATCTAATCTAGGACTTACTGATCCCGGTTCGCCAGCGATCTTTCGTAGGTAAACGACAGCGACAGAGGTTAGAGGTTGAGGATCCACTTGAGACGGAACGCAAGGACTCTCCTACTTGAGACGGCTTCGTGTGTCTCGTACTTAATAATTGCATATTTTTATAATTATTGCAAAACCAACAAATAGCTTTCAGAGCAATGGCACGTTTGGCATACTTGTTTGTTCACTTGTACAAGTATGCAACAACATTCCCATTTAATACGTGCTATACAGAGTAAACAATGTTATTGATCGCTTTCAAACTCATCTTATTAGCTATATGGCTTGTGCTTACATTACATTTTATAAGGACGTAATAATGTTTGCAGATATTCGTACCAGCTTAATAAGAATTAAGCCGATCGGATTATGTCCTTAAATTTATACCGTCCTCAATTATATTTCCCAATCACTTTGGTAATAAGAAAATGTTATATTGTAGCAACTGTTAAAGACATTAATTTCCCCAGAGCGCCAAAGTATAATTTGGTAAATCCCTTATAATGTTCAATTTAATGGCATATGCGCTTGGCGAATACAAATTAGCACATCTGCAAATGCAGCCAGCAATTACATGATAGCGTTTCGATAACAAGGTTTCCTGCATCCTGTGTGCAGAAAACCCATACAAAAACCGACGCAAAATAATAAAACATTACGGGAGCGATGGAGAGGGACAAAAAAGGAAAAAGGAAGACGGGCTGAGTAATTACAGCAGCTTGAAACGGCGAAAGGAATGCCGCGTGGTAGTATAATTTACAACATGTCATTAGCCGGGCGACGCCTATAGAAAAATGGAGCTTGGGGGAGCGGCCAACGGCAGGATCAAAGCGTGACCAGAGCACAAACGAACGGTCACACTGCACGGCTGGACTTGGAACGAAAGAAACAAAAAGTGGCGGGGTGTCCAAGGATCCTGTCCTGAAAACTTGTTTCTCCAAAGCAACTCGGGCATAACGCAGGGAGAGCAGGATAGAAAGCGGGGGAGAGAGAGAGAAGAGAAAAGGACGAAAGAGAGAGAGCTTGCAGCAAAGCAGCGAGAATGACCAGGCGGCGGCTTCCACTTCCGGCAGGAATGGCTCACACACACACATACTAACAGTGCAGTTGTGTACACAATGTGGTCATTGACTGAACGGTAAAAAGCGAAAACAGGAACCAACAGCAGCAACAACAACAACTGGCGATGACGTCGTCGATGAAGAACACACGGAGAACCGCCATAATGCGCGTCCCCTTTTTTCATTCCCACCGCGCCCCCCTCCACTCCACTCCACTCCGCCTGTCATTTTATATTCCATTTTACAAACGCACACACATACACGCACACACATTCGTCCTGTGACTCGTGTGATTTCACAAGGCATTTCTCCAACACAATTTCTCACAAAATTTCAATTCGAGCTCCGCTGCGCCTCAGCTGCGACAACAGCTACAAGATTATTTATGCTTTTTTCTATGCTTGTTGTATCCTGCCGCTGGTTGTTGTTGTAGCTGTAGCTGCTGTAGTTGCTCCTGCTGCCAGTTGCCTGTTTATATCCTTTTGTGACGCAAAGCACGCGCGTCGAAGCCGCACAGTGGGATTTAACTCATAAAGTGGGAGCATTCTAAATTTACTTTGTTTACATTTGTAATTATGTTATGAACAAATTAAAATCGACTTATAAAAAGTCTTTTATGTATACTTATAAATTTTATAAAACAAGTGTATTATCTTAGTTGGAGATTTTGGGACTTGGTTTTGCATGTTTTCTACTGAGCAAAATCCCTTTTCCACACAGTAAAAGAGAGCATTTTCCACTTGATCTCATTCTAACCTAATTTATTTGTATCCTTCACCTTATTTTACTACCTTATATATATGGATATGCATATATTTGGATATATGGATATGCATATATTTGGATATATGGATATGCATATATTTGGATATATGGATATGCATATATTTGGATATATGGATATGCATATATTTGGATATATGGATATGCATATATTTGGATATATGGATATGCATATATTTGGAAAACGCTAATTTAACTAGCTGTTGTAATATTTTGATGAGATAGTCGCCGGAAAGTATGCAAATTTTGTTACTAGCTGTAGAACTTTTACTGGAACATCAGACACTGCGTGCAATGATTTTTTGGCTTGAAATGACTTACAAAGAATACAAATTCCTAATAACATGAAATAAATCCCACTGTGCGGCGAGGACAGGCATCGACCGAAAAGCAAAGCACGCGTCCCCTTTTCGAAGTTTCCCTTTTGTTGTCCTTTATCTCAATTGCACAACTGTTTGGCTTTGGCTCGTTTCTCTGCGTTTGCCGCTGGCCTTTGTTTTGTTTTCATGCTTTTCGTTCGTTACATTTTGTGATTCTGGTGCGTGTGTGTGTCTGTCTCTGTGTGTATTCCTGGTGTCTAGTGCTCCTGCGAGTCCTTTTTTTTGAGCAGGCGCCCAGCTACATTCGTCCTGGCGTCCATTCTTTCGGTTATTGATGTTGTTGTGCTGTTATTGTGTGCTAAGTGAATAGAAAGCGGAGAGGAAGGAGGACGAAGGAGCAGTGTTCGAATTCGATGACAAGTTTCCCGTTGCAGGCTTTCCGCGCACACTCGCTGCTCTCTCTCCCTCTCTGTCCCCCCTCTCACTCTCTATCTCTCTCTATGGCTATCTCTATTTCTCTGGCGCTCTCTCAGCTGCAGCACGCCCAGCAGCTGCCAATCTAATTAATTCTCCTTCTGCTCGCCATTGTTCTTCTATTGCTCGACACTTTTCGCATCCCAAGTCTTATTGGTCAACAAAATGGCGGCCATGTGGAGCAGAAAGCGCAAGGATAAACGGCTCCAGTATATGTGTGTAAAGTACATGTGGAGCAGAAAGTGCCAGGACGTATGACTAAGTATATCCTGTATATATACTGACATATACTCAGAGGAAAAGCGAAAACTTTTCAAGTTGCCCGTGCCCGTGTCCGTGCTCAAGTGGCCACTTCGTTATCCTGCGAAGGGAAAGTCGATCGGAGCAGGATGTGCGCACCAGGACCTTAGCAGCAAACAGACACACACTCTATGCTCCCCATTCAGATCTGTGGCATTGCAACATATAGAACGAGGCCATGGGACACTAGAATGCATAGGCAAATTCAAAGGACACCTAATTGTGGTTTAAAGCATAAGAACTAAGCGGAGGAAAAGTAGATCTTCACTAGAAACTCATTTAAAGCCTTTATTTTGAAAACTGGAGAATTTACTTAAGGCAATTTACATTTGAATCAATGTGGTAATATGTGGTCTTTACCTATTTCACTGAATTTTTTCCTTTCAGAAACACTGAGCATGTTGGGTAAAATCTCTGCGAAGTATGCCACGACTTGCGAAAGGATCCCCCAGCAACTATAAAGCTGCAAATTGGGGGAAAGCCCCAAACCTTACCCAACACCAAGGGCTCTAGCCACTTAACACCGTCACTGTGAAATATTCAGTGAAATACCCTCAGTTGGATTGGGACAGATCGCATCGCACCACCCACCGACCACCAGTGCATCGCAACCACCCGGCGGGGCGGCGACCTGTTGAGTTGACAACTTGTTCGCACTTCATCCACTCGGAACCACCACACCTGACCTACGGACGGGATCTTTGGCAAAAGCACCACCTAGTCGGTCCGGGGGTATGTTTATTATGCTTTATGAATGGGAGCGGATGCTCCTTGCTCTGCCTTAACTACCACCGACCACCACGGATTCGCTCTGTTTTGGTCTCAATTGGTTCGGTTTGGTTTGGGGTTTTTTTTTTTTTTTGGTTGGGAAAACCCCTAAATGTGACGTCGAAGACGTTGTGTGGATGGATGACATGCCGGCACACGCCACCGAATCCATATCAGCCGTAACCGTATCCGTTCCGTAGGTGGTGGGTTCAGAGGCACATGACCAAGAGCAAGAGCGGATACGGTCGGTGCCGGTGTCTCTGCTGGGGTTGCTTGCGTTTGTTTACATTTTGGGGGGTTTTCCCAACGTCCTTGCACCTACGAGAAGGCCGTGCGGTTCGATGTGGTGCGTGCGTGTGAGCGGAACCACCCCATGCGCCATGTGGCCCAGAGCAAGTGCGCCAAAGTAGGTCGGTGGTTGCTCTGGCTCTGGCTCTGGCTGCGACTCTGGCTCGGGCTCTTGCCCTGGTGGTGATTCCAAAAATATGCCCAGACGTGTCTAAGGGTTACTGCCGCTGCCACTGTCACTGTCACAGTTTCGCTTTTTGTTTATAAACATTGCGCCAAACAGCTGATTTTTGGCCATCCCCCATAGGCAGTGTCCCGCATTCCGCTCCACACAACCCCTGCACCCTGCACCCCTTCTCCACCCACAAGCATAAGGGGAAACCGGGCACTCTGCAAGGAAAGTGTGCTCCAGGCGAAGCATACTGCATCACCTGCACGCCGAGTCCTTAATTCGAACAGCTCGCTCGTTCAGGACAGCTGGCTGGCTGGCTGGCTGGGTGGCACAGCGGCACAGCAGCAGACTGGCCCTCTTGGAACCGACAGATGTCTGTCGATGTCGGCAACGGAAAATGCAATGGTCGCTCGTGGGCAGGCAGTCCAACGAATTGCAGCCGGCACTGAGCTATTGAGGCATTGAGCAGAACCGAGCTGAAGGGACGATGGCTCCGAAGGGATCGAGAACGAGCTGGCCTGCTGTTGCATTGATTACTTCACGGACGGAACAGAAACGGAGCGGTCGTTAACATCTGGCCCGTTTTGCCCTGCTCATCGTTCATCGATCCTCGCCTTGGCATGTGCCACGAACCAAAGGACATCTGCCAGCTGCACAAAGGGGCCCCCAACTATCTAGCTATCTAGCTCTGCCATATATTTTCAGTTCTTCAGCACTGTAATGCGCTCTTTTTGCGAGCAGGGACCACGAAAAGCTAATTAAACACGAAATATAGGGCGATTCCAACTCGTTTTTGATGAATGACATCCATTGTCCTGCCGCAGTTGCAAGTCAGTTACATGTTTTTTGCGGTAACACCATTAAACACAAAGAAAAGTACCTTTTTCGGGGTAAATGTAATAAATCAATCCTAACAGCCGTACTTTTGAATGAATGAATTTGTTTGGTCAAAATTTTAGCCAAACCTAAAATACGAGAGCGTCATAAATACTTTTTAAACCTACATATTAGGTTTGGTATTAAGTATACCAAATGTAATAGTTCATAACTCAATAACTGCTCTGTAAATATTTTTCTTATTTTTCAAACTCCAAGCCGATGAAGCTGGTAAGCAAAGCTGATATGCTGGCTCCACGCCCAGCTGCTTCTCCAGCATCAGCATTTGGATCGGCATCAGCTGCCCGACCCCACAGGATGCCTCATGAGCCAGCATAAAAAACCTGCGGCAAACGCAGTCCAAACAGCTTTCCGAAAAATGAACTCTCCCAGCTGTAACTGGACACCGAAACCCGTAGGGATAGGGATGGGCATGGGAATGGGGCTAGGGATATGGTAGCACAGGAACAGAGGAACGATGAGTGCCCCAACTGGGAAGAGTTTCGAGTTGCGTTCTGAACAACTGGCGGACTGGGTATCGAAACCGGTATGTGAGCGGCGAAAGGACACGAATGCGATCGAAGGCGATTACATTCAATTTACAAGGAACGAGTGCTGGTGAAAAGAGCCAGTCAGAACTGTTACACAATTCGAGACTTCCGGCTGCGACTGTCGTCGAAAAGGAAGTGCTAAATGTCGCTAAAAAAAATCACGACTTCCCCGTCGGTTTAAAGTCTGTCCTGTTTCAGTGGCAGCTGCATTTTGCCACGATGTTTGCGCAGGCGTACATTGAACCTAGTCCTTTTAGCTGGATGAGGCAGGTAAAAACTGAGCCAGACAGGACGGCAGATGTTCCTTCTTGCCAGTCCCTTTTGTCGCAGGTCAGTTGCTGCCTCCAGAAGAGTTGATTTCGTTATCCTGTGGGCACGTCAAAGGCTTGTCAAACATTTGTTTACCTTTGTTTGCTTAGAAGAAGTCATTGAACGGCGGGCAAGGTTCTATAAAACCGCAGCTGCTTTCTAAATAAAGACTACAAAGGCAGCTCAAGAATGCATTAAGCCTTCTCATTTCAGTTCGATCTAGCTATTCGCATTGTAAAATGTGCTCCAGTGCATTGATAAGAAGGTTACTTTCAGAGGGTACTCCAAAGTTTTACAAGTTTGAAGCGCAGAGAATAATATCTTGAATCTTTCCAGACGACCTTCTTTCTATTGCAAGTAGCATATAATAACACATATATCGAAATAGAAACCGCAGAACTAATTGTATAGCTCCCATAGAAATAATCGGGAATTAAATAGAGATCATTTTAAGTTAACTGCTTAATACTTTATCAAATAAATACTACAAATATTATACTTCGTTGTGTTTCATCACTTTCTGAGCTACGATCGGAAAATGAATGAAATACTAATAGGAAAGTAATTACAGCTTCATTAATTAATCACAGTCCTTCTTACCCTGTGAAATTCCATTTTTGTTCCTACAATTTTTAATGAATCGGAAAACTATCCCAGAATATTTTGGACAACACTAGTAAAAGGCGTATGACACATCGTCAATAGAGTTCTAAATTTTAAATGCAACTATGCTAGCCTAATTTTTTGTATAAAACAGACAGTATGTATGTAAAAATGTAAGAGCTTTTTGCTTCCTTTTTAGTGATGGCAAAAATATGTAATTTATTTTCAATCGGTTGCACTTCAGTAATCCTGTTTGGATTTAAAGAACTATTTCTATGAAATTGAATGTAAAAAAATGTGTGTTAAGTATTAAACAAAAAATATAAATGTAATATAAATTGAATTTAAACCGAAACAATGTGTAGAAAACCCTAGAAACACAACCCCGACTGTGCATCACAGTCATCGGAAAAGGAACCACACCGAACTGGCGAATAACCCAAGTTAATGGAATTAATTCGCGTCCAAGCATTCCAGTAAAAAGTGGACGGTACGCAGTGGGTGGTAGGGAGGCAGCCCCAGTGGGTGAATTGAAAAATCGATTTTGCACGGCGGACTCGCTGCTGCGAATCGCCAATTGGGATGCAGTGCACTTTCGGCTGGGAAACTCACCCGATGGTTATGCCGCAGATGCCGCTCTCCTCCTCTCGCACTCCTCCAGTTCCTGCGTGTGGCAGCTCTGAGGCGGCTGGGTCTCTGGAGGATGTGGGGCACCTGGTTTTTCGCGAATTCCCTGCAAAACGCCGTGCTGGTTGCAACGGAATCGGGGAATCGTGAATCGAGGAATCGGAATCGGCGTACGTGACCGAGAAAAGGTGCTCGTTCACAATGGACGCAGACGCAGTTTATTTACAATAGATTAGCTGCGCGATGCACATGTCTGGGTGTGTTGTTGTTGTGGTGTTGCTAAATCTAATGTTTCTCGATCTCGTGGACGGCCAGAACGCCCTGGCCTTGCTGCACGGCAATAGTTTTTACGATTTATATATATTTGGCAGGGATTTCCTTGCCATTCTTATAAGAAGATGGCTGCTTATCAGACGCTTCCTCCGCAGTCCAATGGACACACACTCGAATGGGAACACTTACACTAAACCCAGTAATTTGTCATTTTATTGGGTGGTACAATGTGTACAATATATCCACCGAACTCTGGCCTGATCTATGGTGTCTGTGTTCACTTTACATTTCACAAAAGAACAACACTAATTACACTAGCTTATGTATTTATTTTTCGCAAAATTCTTGCCGTACAAAAACACCAAAAACACGACTGCAAGTGTGACCAGATTGTGGCGATAACACAATCTAATTCTTGAATAGGTCTATCGAAATCCGACAGTGCTGCCAAACTGAATTTAGCGAAAGCTTGTAACAAAGTCATAACAGGTTATCTAAAAAATAAAAAATATATCTAATATATTTACATTGAATTTTTAGTATTGACCATAATTTTTGAATGAATGCCATATTTTAAAGAATGATATATTAATATTGTCATTAAAAAAACACATAAATATTAAAAATGAATTGTTGATAAATATTTCAACAAGCTCTCATAACAAATAGTAAATAACACTCCAATTTTAATAAATAATTATATTAATTGTATAGTTTTTTGTCAAACATAATTCAAAATATAGGCAGCTGCTGGCAACCCTGGTCACAAACTGCACACGTTTTCATCTGTTTTTCTGCGACTCCAGTATAACTGCATGTGAGTAATGTACACTCCGTCCATTTCATCACTAGACCAACGGTTGCACTATACAGATTTACTCCTGAGATCACTTGAGAAATGCCTGAGGCTGAACAACAAAACGATGCCAACGCACCAGCCGGAGCCGGGGGTGATCCTCCCAAGACGGCCAAGCAACTGGAGAAGGAGCGTCTGAAGGCGGAGAAGCTGGCCAAGCTACAGGCGAAGCTGGATAAGAAGGCCGCAGCTGCTCCAGCGGCGGGCGACAAAAAGGAGAAGCCCGAGGTTAGTGAAATATCCATTCCGAAAGTGCCTCCCAATTTGAGGCCTCAAATCGAGGTTATGTGGCCAAGTGAGAAGCAGTAATTGCTGCCCATTGTTACTGGTGAAAGCGAGTGCCACTTATATGTAATGCTCGAATTCCCTTCCCTTGCAGAAGCGCACCAAGGAGGTGAAAGAGGCTGCCATCTACACGGCCCAAACAGCGCCCGGAGAGAAGAAGGATCTGAGTGGAGCCTTGCCCGATGCATACAGTCCGCGGTTCGTGGAGGCACAGTGGTACAGCTGGTGGGAGAAGGAGGGCTTCTTCACGCCCGAATACGGAGTGAGTTTGTCCATGTCTTGGTTAAAATTGTCGTTTCTAATCCTGCTTGATCTTTTAGCGTGCATCGATAGATGCCCCCAATCCCAATGGAAAGTTTGTGATGATCATTCCACCACCAAACGTGACTGGTTCCCTGCATTTGGGCCACGCCTTGACCAACGCCATCGAGGACGCCATCACGCGGTACCACCGCATGAAGGGACGAACCACTCTGTGGGTGCCTGGTTGCGACCACGCCGGCATCGCCACCCAGGTGGTTGTGGAGAAGCTCTTGTGGCGCGACGAGAAGCTATCGCGGCACGACCTCGGTCGCGAAAAGTTCATTGAGCGCATCTGGGACTGGCGCCGGGAAAAGGGCGGTCGCATCTATGAGCAGCTGAAGTCCCTGGGCTCCTCCTACGACTGGACTCGAGTGGCCTTCACCATGGACCCCATGCTCTGCCGCGCCGTCACCGAGGCTTTCGTCCGATTGCACGAGGAGGGCAGCATCTATCGTAGCTCCCGACTGGTAAATTGGTCGTGCACACTGCGATCGGCTATATCAGACATTGAGGTGGACAAGGTGGAGATTCCCGGTCGCACATTCCTCTCCATTCCCGGATACGAGGACAAGGTGGAGTTCGGTGTTCTGATAAAGTTCGCCTACAAGGTGGAAGGCAGTGAGGAGGAGATCATTGTAGCCACCACTCGTATCGAAACAATGCTGGGCGATACCGCTGTGGCTGTGCATCCCCAAGACGATCGGTACAAGCACCTGCATGGCAAATTCGTAGTCCATCCGTTTTCCACGCGCCGCCTCCCAATCGTCTGTGACGAGTTCGTGGATATGGCTTTCGGTACAGGTGCTGTGAAGATCACCCCGGCCCATGACCCCAACGATTACGAGGTGGGCAAGCGCTGCAATTTGCCCTTCATTACAATCTTCAACGACGACGGCTACATCATTGGCGACTACGGTGAGTTCACTGGAATGAAGCGATTCGAGTGCCGCAAGAAAATCCTGGAGAAGCTTAAGGCCCTGAATCTATACCGCGAGACACTGAACAACCCGATGGTGGTGCCCATCTGCAGTCGCTCCAAGGACGTTGTGGAGCCACTGATTAAGCCGCAGTGGTATGTTAGCTGCTCGGACATGGCCGCCTCTGCTACTGAGGCAGTGCGCTCCGGCGAACTGAAGATCATACCGGAACACCACACTAAGACGTGGTACCACTGGATGGACGGTATTCGTGACTGGTGCGTGTCGAGGCAGCTGTGGTGGGGTCACCGGATTCCAGCATACCATGTCAGCTTCACCGACCCTTCACTCCAAACCGGATCGGTGAGTAAATCTTTTGTGGATAATAACAATTTATGTGGGTAATATATTACATTGGAACTCTTAGTCTGCTCATGGAACAGTGGTGCGTAAAAGTCAAAACAAAATTTCCTAAATTATAGACAACTCTTTTGAATTAGAGCTACTACAATTATCTTATTATGTTCCTTCTTAGAACGACGACGAGCAGTACTGGATTGTCGCGCGCAGCGAGGCGGAGGCCCTGACCAAGGCAGCCGAACGATTCGGAGTGGACGCCAGCAAGATAGTTCTGAAACAAGACGAAGATGTCCTGGACACGTGGTTTAGTTCGGGTATCTTTCCCTTCTCCGTGTTTGGGTGGCCAGATCAAACTAAGGATCTGAAGACGTTTTATCCCACATCGCTTCTGGAGACGGGTCACGACATTCTCTTCTTCTGGGTGGCTCGCATGGTATTCTTTGGACAGAAGCTGCTGGGCAAGCTGCCGTTTAAGGAGGTCTACCTTCACCCCATGGTGAGGGATGCGCATGGACGCAAAATGTCCAAGTCATTGGGAAATGTTATCGATCCTATGGATGTTATTCGTGGCATTACGCTCGAGGGGCTCCATGCTCAACTTGTGGGCTCCAACCTGGATCCTCGGGAGATCGAAAAGGCTAAGGCTGGACAGAAACAGGATTACCCGCAGGGGATCCCTGAGTGCGGCTCGGATGCCCTTCGATTCGCGCTGTGCGCCTACATCACGCAGGCGCGCGACATCAACCTGGACATTAACCGCGTCCTCGGATATCGATTCTTCTGCAACAAGCTGTGGAACGCCACCAAGTTCGCCCTGCTGTACTTCACCGGATCTGACAAGTTTGACACGGAGCTGAGTGCCTCTGAAGCGATCAATCAAATGGACGCCTGGATCCTGTCACGCTTGGCAGCGGCCATTGAAGCTTGCAACACCGGCTTTGAGTCCTACGACTTTGCTGCAGCGACCAGCGCCTGCTACGCATTCTGGCTCTATGATCTGTGCGACGTGTACTTAGAGTGCCTCAAGCCGATCTTCCAGAGCGGCAGCGAGGAGCAGCAGGCCGCCGCCAGGCGCACGCTCTACGTATGTCTAGATTATGGTCTGCGCCTGCTCTCTCCGTTCATGCCGTTCATCACGGAGGAACTGTACCAGCGGCTTCCAAGGGCAAATCCTGCGCCTAGCATTTGCGTGGCTAGCTATCCCAGTAAGTCCCATTTGATGTCGACGCAATTGAAATTGTTCTAATTTCCTTACAATACAGGCAATACATCTTGGCGCAGCACAAAAATAGAGTCGGACGTCGAATTTGTGCAGAAGGCGGCGCGAATTATCCGCTCTGCCCGTTCCGACTATAATCTGCCCAACAAGGTTAAAACCGAGGTGTATATAGTGTGCACAGATTCGGTGCCCAGTGAAATACTCAAACGCTACGCCAGCGACCTGGCCACAATCTCCTACTGCTCCAAGGTGGTCTTCGACAGCCCCGCACCACAGGGCTGTGCGATCCTGACCGTGACGGGCCAGTGCGAGGTGCATCTGCTGCTCAAAGGGCTCGTGGAGGCGGACAAGGAGATCGCCAAGCTGCAGAAGAAGAGCGACCAGCTGGTGCAGACGGTGGGCAAGCTGACTCAGGCCATCCAAGCCGCCGACTACGCAACTAAGGTTCCCGCCGAGGTGCAGGAAGCCAACGAGACGAAGCTTTCCGAATCGCGGGCAGAGATCGAACGCATCGCCGCCGCCATTGAGACTTTGAAACTGATGTGAACAGGGAACAGCAACCGCTAGTCGGGATCACTGGTAATTGATATTTAGCACGCTTGCCTTGCCAGCTGCTGAGCTTTACTTAAAAATACAAGAACGCGCTTCAATCGCAAACAAAGTTAATGCATTTCGAACAGAGTAGACAAATCGATTGATGTTTTATTTATTTATAACGTCCCACACATGAAATTTGCCCCAATATAAATAAATAGAAAATTAATATTCGCTAAGGGATTTTGGTTGTTCATATCCCGAGCTACCAGGTTAATCGGGTGGCATGATCCGTCTTGCGCTTCGACATCTTGATGTACCCCAGGAACTGCAACTCGGCTACGGCACGCGTGAATCGGGCTCTGGTTGGTGGAAACATCAAAAGGAACTTATGGTATACGGATAGGAATCTAATTTTGTACTCACTGGATCCGGGGATCGATTTGCTCCTGGGCCACATCATCGTTGTCGCTGCCACTCACAACTGATCGAAAGGCCTGCAGCCAATCGAAAAGGTTGATCATGCGACCGCACTCCAGGTGCAGCTTGTAAACCACGGAGAGATCGGGCAGTGTGCCAACCAGCAGTGACTGCTCTTGCAGCTCGCAGCACTTACACTGCATGTAGAAATGTGGATTATTCAGGGCGGTGTGCAGTGCAGCACGCGGTGCTCCAATTATGTTTCGCCGCACGGTAGCAATGTCAGTGAACACAAAAAGTTCGTGAATAGGTGGTGCATCCTGCAGCGGACGAAGATGTGCCTGGACAATCGTTGTTTCGATAAGCTGCAGAGTCTTCTGCAGAGCCCGTGCGAACTGGGTGACGGGCGTATTCAGCTGATGCCGCTTGTCCTCTTTACTGCGCTGTAAAAGCTGATCTTTCAGTTCCTGACGTGAGGCCACCGGAGTCAGATGGTCTGTTGGCTGGCGGGTTTCGTTGGGCGATGTCGCCGTTTCTGTCGCCATAGTGGCCTTGACCACTTCGTCCACTGAAAGGCGTATAGCTTCTAGCTTAGGTCTCAGCACAGCAGTGCAGGCCTCGCCCAATTCCAGTGTAGCAATTTCCTCAACTAGGAACTGCTCAGTCCTTTCCAAGGATCGGTTTACCTTAGCGACAAATTCGTCCTTGGACAGAAAGCTAAGCATCTGCTGACACTCCTTGTACTCTGGTGACGAAATGATAGCTCGGTTGAGACAGTTAACGTACAATTCACGGCGCAGCTTTCCTAGAGGGCAGCGCGGCAGATCCCCTACAAGCTCTGTAATAAACTCCAGGGAGCAGCGAAAGAGCAGGAAGTGGAGCAGGCAGTCGCGCAGCAGCTGCGGCAGTTTCTTCTTCAGGTATTCATCGTCTGTGAGCACGGCTATTATGCGTTTACAATCATTGATCTGCTCGACGTACGGACGAAACGATGGGAGCCTTCTGATAGTCTCCATATCCTCGTGGGACAGCTGCTTTATGCGTCCCAAGGCTTTGCTGTAGTCCGTGCAAAGCGCAAAGGCATTTCCACCAAAAAAGTGTTCCATCAGGCAGTACTTGAAGCCCTGAATAAAACCGTGGATTGAGAAATCGTAGTATAAGAAGATGTGGGTCAGGAACTTGAATGTTTTTCCGGAGAGGTGGAAAGCGTACTTGGGCGATAGCAGAACTTTATCTAGCACCTAAAAGGGGTTAAGAAATCGATTACCACATAAATAAGCCCGCACTGGTAAGATAAAGTGGAGATTACCTCATTGAGACCCGTTGGAGCAGCTTGAGTCTGGAAAACCCTTAGACGAATCTTGCTGCTCACGTGGTAGGGAAGTGTTCCGTGCACTGCTGTCATGGCCGTGGCCACTCCCAGGACAAGGACAAATGGAAGTGAGCCGCAGTGGGCGCTCAGAATGAGGATGAGATCCTGCAGCACGCCTACGTTGAAGCACTCAAAGTCGGGAAGGATAACGACCAGCTGGCGACGCTTCCGTTCCGAGTCAAAGTTGTTCGAGTACCAGGACTTAAGCTGCTTCATGGTGCACTGCGAGCGACGTAGCCGCTTGCGATCCCGTTCGGCGCCATCCTCGTCCGCGTCATCCATCTGCTCAACTTCCGCATCATCTTCTACAAGCCCAAAAACCAATGACTCCACGGCAGCCTTCAGAGTGGCGCAATCTCTCGACTGCAGCACACAGACCATTGCAGCACGTTGAGCATGGAGTCGCTGTGTAAGTGCCGTGAACTGGCTGAGATGATCCGGCTGATTAATGCCCGTTAACAAGGCGGCGGTGGGCAGCACCTCGTCCGGGGTGGCGCGCTCTGCCTGCCCCACCACAAAGTCCACCAGTTGCTCCAGAGTGCGGGCATAGCTGCGGTGCTGCAGATCAGCGATGTGATCGTTTACCTGGTTCCAGGCGTTGCGGTATTCCTTATAGAAGGGCTGCTGCACTACCTCCTGACCCAGTAGGCTACTGGATTCCGCGGCAGGACGCTTCCGCTTGCCGGCTGCTTTTTTCCCGGCTCTCGTAGCGCCATTTTTGTAGACAAAACAACCCTGCAAACAAAACAATAAGAGTTAAACCTCAATGTTCAGTTTGGAAGCCGAAGCCAATCACCTTAGACACTGAAATGGTGGGATCCATCGCAGGCTTTACACTGACTGCGGCCCGATGTCGTGGTGTCTTAAAGTCGCCGGGTTCCGCTTATTTATTTATTTGTTTAGGTCAGCTCTGTGCCAATTAAAGTTTCTTCACCGGTAGGAACGCGAAATGAAATCAGCTGACTGCTGTGTTTGGCGCCAAATGGGCGGCAGTGTTGGCTAACGACTTAGGGGGTGGTACCTTAATCTTTAGGGTAAATGGAGCAAAATATAAATTATAATTTATTATCAGTTTTAATTGTTATTATTGTTGATATTTCCTATAAAGGGTCCTATATAACCAAAATATTTAAGAAGTTTACATTAAAGTTAAAAATAATAAGTATAGATTTGAGAAAATAAAGAAATCTAGTTTTGAACTAGTGATATGGTTTTTTTAAATTGAATTATCTCGCTCGGATAATATTAATTATAATAATATTAACTCGATATCATACCCTCCGTTGACGAGGTCCTCGTATACCACCATTTTGGGGGATACGAAGTCGTAGTTTCTCTAAACAGCACCCAGTTTTTTGAACGTTCGCGGTCGCAGAGATCCGACCATTTTGGAGCCATTTGGAAGGAGAAGAGGTAGAGGAGCAGGAAATCGAGGAATAGTATGATTGCTGCCAGGAAGTAGTCCTTCGTGCGCATCTCTGCAAACCTTCCACCGTTTATAATCTGCGCGTGATACATGACGAACTGCACGTGCGAAAATTAATAGCAAAAACTAATTCAACATCTGATATATGTGTTACTAACCATCAATATGCTGATCACGATAAAGCACCGGGCGATGACAAACGAGTATGCGACATTAGCCACGATGTAAAGCATCACAAAGTATATGGCGCCGATAATAGAAACCACTGCGAGCACAAATAGCACCACCACATCCAAAGTAAGATCAAGCTAAGGGGATAACAATAAAAGATTGGCACAAAATGCCTTGAATTTGGTTGGGATACTATAAAGAACTACAGCTTGATGCTTAAATAAAATGATCAATAAATTGTCCGAAACTCTACATAATAATACGATAAAAACGATTAGGGACACTTCTTACCGGAAGGAAGGAACCGCAGACAATAAAGAGTGCCAAGGCTACGGTCCATATGAGGAAGCTAAGGAGGAACTGATACTTATAGTGGCGGACAACCAGCGGTGCGATTCCCAGTACAATGCATTCAAACTGGGAAGAATAAGTTCATTTTGGCACCCAGGCTGCAAATCACGTTGTAGACTTACGATTAGGACTGCAAACAACCAATTTACCATTTTATTAAAGCGCAGTACCTCAAAGAATATGAAAACAACGAGGAGTACCAGACCCATTCCAAAAAACAAGCAGCTCACCCAATAGTATGAAGTAAAAAATACATTTAAAAAGTTACTGATTGTTCAAAAAAAGTGGGATGAGTATAAAACGGATTTTGAAAATACATACATACGTACACAAAGCGGAAAAGGGCCCATTGCAACAGCGCTACGATCAAGAATATCGCGGTTAGTAGGTAAGTGATCAAGGCGAACTTCCTTCTTTCCCTCTTGTAGTAAGAACTTTTTTCTGGAATGTCTGCCATTATGTAGTGTTTCTAGGTATTTATGTATTTATTTATTTATTTTGAACGAAATAGAAAGTAGAGTATTAGGAGATGTGAACTAGATTGTTTTTAAAATTATAATAATGGGAAAACTCGTAAGTGTTCAATAACATTTAGCAAAGCGTCTAAATTGAGAACTTGAAAGGAATTATTAAATTTATCAATTATTTGTTTTGGCGCCAAATTTTTCCAGCCAGCTATCGGCTCTCATGATTACCTATCGTTCGTGGGCGGTCAGCTGTTATTTCCGATAGGCAGCCGCATCTGCTGCTATCGATTGGCGGCAACACGGAATGTTTTTACAATATTTATTAGAATAATAAGAATAGTTAATATTTCATTAATACAAATACCCACCGGGCTATCAAATCGCATGCAATTTGCGAGGAAGTGGACAAGAAACGGACCATTAAACTTTAGAGGCTATTTTGTATTTCTGAAAGGTAATTCAACACCTTTGGAGTTCTTTTGTTTCGAAATTTGTTTAATTAATGGCTGATCAGGTAAACTTTAAAATAACTATTAAACAACTGTAACTCTATTAATCATTGTTAATTGTAAAAATCCTCGTTTGAAGGAAAGCGAAGAAAAAAAGGAGGCGATCGGGGAGGGGAGCACAAAATCCAGAGAGGAACAAGGGCTACCCGAAGCATTGGAGGATTTGATGGATCTGGAAGACCAGGGCGTGGGCGTGATGAAGTCAAGCGATAAGAATAAATCTATGGATTTGGATATCTACGACGATTTGTACGAGATGGAGCCTGCAGGTTCAGCAAAACCCGAGGAAATTGACAAATCTCTTGAACTGGACATCTACGATGATTTGGACGACTTCCAGAAGGCCGAAGATCGTGTAAGTTTTGCAGTTGGAGGTATTCGAGCGGAGTTCGATTACTGAACTACTATCTTGCAGAAAACCAAGGAGCTGCAAGAATGGGAAGCCAAATACGAAAAGGCGCTGACCGAAATTGATGCGCTAAAGGCCGAAAATAAGGCACTCGGAAAGAAGATAAAAACCATGGAGGTTAATCTGCAGAATCTACTGGACACAGCCAAGGCGGAGGTTAAGAGAAAAGAGACACTGATTTCCGAGCTGCGAAACGAGTTAGTATGAATTTCCAACTCCCCTGCTTCCTAACTAACAACGTATTTATCCACAGAAAAGACGATGTATGCTTCCGGCGAAAACGAGCGAGAGCGTTTGAAGTGCCAGGGGTAAAGGAACCCGAGAGTAAGCGTCCGAAAGAATTTCAACCGAAACCAATCGTTGCCAAGAGGGATATAGAAACGGATAGAAATCCGTTCAAAACAGCTGAAAAAGACGGCGCTAAAAAGTTCGCTGTTAAAGATGATGCTAGGAAGATGATAACCACAGAAGATGTCGCTAAGAAAGTTGTCTTAAAAGATGTTAAAAGGGGGACGATGTCTAAGGATGATAATAAGAAGCCAGCCTTTAAAGATAATGGCAAGAAGTCGTCCTCAAAGGATGATGCTACTAAATCTAGCACAAGAGAAGACGCCAAGAAATCGGAGCAAAGAAGCAAGCCTCTCAGGCCGGAAAATTCTAAGACCACCGATCGAAAATCTACTACACAGACTCGTCGTCTAGAAAATAGACACAGATCTAGAGATCGACACCATAGCCGCAGTCGGAGTCCAAAACATAGTTCCCGCCGAGATCAACCCAAGAGCCAAGAAAGCAGTTTCCGGCACGCCAAACGCCGAAGCCATTCCATATCGCCCAGGTCAGTAAAGCAAAGGGACATCATTTACATTTGTTGATAGCACCATCTGATTTTTTTTTAGCAAGATACATTTGCCACGAGAAAAAACCAAAGCCATCACCACACTTACTAGCGATGAAGCAAATGACCAACGCAGCAAGAGCCCGATCCACGTGTCCACCAAACTGATAAATGAGTCCCAACCGTCTAGGAAAGACGTTTCTAAGCGAATAGATGCTGCCTTAGAAACCAATGCAAATCCCTCAAGCGAACCAAAGGTACTAAAGAATGATATTGCTCAAACGACAGTTGGTTTAACTTCTGAAGCTTGTATTCCAAAACATGTTATTATTCCGGGTTTAAACTTAATTAACCCAGAATCTGAGGATTTTTGTAAAAACGAAATCGGGTTGGATAAACGAGAAAAAAATCCTGTAAAAGAGTTATCGAATCATACAAAAGACTCTGGTCACGAACTATTAAAAAAGACGTCGAATCAAAGAGTTGTAATAGTTGAAAAATGTAAAAACATTTCAGCAGAAGATTGTCCAGCAGATGCCCAACACCTGGACGAACTTAAGGATGCAAGAGAAGTTAAAGAGCCACTGGCAAAGTTAGACAAAAAAGAGCCATTTGCAGTTGAAACTGTTGTGGAAACGGCTAAAAACGAAGAGAGAAATGTCGATGTAGCCTTATCAAAGAATCTGACGCCTCTAACTGATGTGTGTTCTCAGCATGATGAGAATGAGAAAGCGGGCTCAAGAAAAGAGAACAAAGAACCGACGGATGAAGTAAGCTGCGTTGTCAAGTCTGACATGGGAGTAAGGATTATCGAGGATATTCGGTTGCCAAAGATGGCGAATATCGACCACTTTGCTGTTAAGGTCGACAAACAGGGCGAGCCGCCAACGGCCTTCACAAATTCCGCGTCAAATCAGCAGAATCTAGCCACACAAGACAAAAACATTTGTTGTGCAGAGTTGAAAGATCCAACTCCTCTTAGCTCCGCGGACGAAACTCCCATTAAGTCTGCTACTGTTTTATACGCCAAGCCCGATTCAACAAAAGTTGATCACAGCGATGAACATGACGAGGTTATTCTGGAAGCTGCGATGGACATACTGACGAACGAGCAGGATGCGGCGAGGGTTGCAGATCCCACCTATCCCAATATGCGGATCGCAGAAGACGCCATTGAGATGGCACTGGAGGAATTGCACCAGCAGTCACCGGACGAAACTGTAGTGACCTCAACGTCGAATAGAGCTCCGCAGACGCCAAAGCAAAGCCTTATCACGATTCTCACCCAGTCTCCAAGCCAGCGCGGTCCCATAAAATCCCAAACGAAATCGAAGACTGTGTCACCAATGGCAACACCAAAGAAGCAGGCCACAGAGAAAACCCCGCTGAAAAAGAGAAAAGTCAACATGGACAGTGCGCCGCATCTGGAAGCCCCCAGCTTGGATGTCACCATCGACGAAACTTTGGGAGCTAGCCTGCATGACGAGAGCTCAACTGTGACCAAACGCTGCTCTCTGGGCCACACAGATTACCAGTACGAACAGATAAAGGACGAGGTTATTTTACGAGTGAAACGGCGGGGTCGCCGACGAAAACCAACACCTATGGAATTACACACTGGTGCTGCCGACGAACCAATTTGAAATACATTTGTAATCAATTTCAATTGTTTACTTCGAATTTATTTATATTTAATGTCCAGCCTGGTGCGATTAAGTCAGGTGCTTTCGTTTCAGCCTGTTGCGCTTCTGATCATCTTGAACCACGAGTAGGCAACGACCCAAAAGTAGATGGCAACACCTGTGGGGTTTAAATGCAAATTAATAGCAATGTTTTAAGCAATATTATTATTTCTGGCCAGTTAACAAAAGTCAGGTTATCAACTTTACCGAATCCACCGACAATGAGGAACAAGGTCAAAATCACAGCACCAATCGCGACGCAAACATAAATAAAAAATATGAAGTCATAAATAATGCGAATTGCACCAGTAATTAGATAGGCAAGAGGCAGTTTTTCGGTTTGCTGGGGAAGAAGAGTCTCTCTGGAATCGATTGCTGCTAATTAAAATGAATACTTACCACCCAAACCGAGGCAATGACCAAAACACAGGACATTAAGTGGGCAAAGTGGACGAAAAGTGTGATAATCCAAATATAGTAGGCTAAAGTGTTGTAGCTGCTTTCAAGAACCTCATTGTTATGATCCATACACCAGTCTTCATAATAGGCCAAATCTGTGGAACACATTATCCACACATATCCAAACCGTTTCCGATCACACAACATCACCTACACTTAGTTTCCAAAACAACTGCCGCAACCACAATCATGTCTATAAGGGCGATAGTCAAGGCTCCCCATCTCAGCTCACAGCAGCAGCACTTTCTAATGGTACACTTCATTCCAATATCGTCTTAATCGTGTTAATAGTTAAATTGTTTTCTATTAGGGTCTTGGGATTTTCGTATGTATATTGCTGAGTTAGATGCCTGAGTGATCTATGAATCTTGTGAGCCTTCAAGCTTCTTGTACCATGAGTAGACAATGAACCACAAGTAGATTGTTAAAACTGTGGGTAGCGGTAAGAAGAGTGTTAGGTTGAATTTATTAGGTATCATATGCATAGTCTAAAGAAAAACCAAAGCCATCTTCTGTATTTGTCTAACACATGTAAGATGTCGTATTTCAAATACGAGTACATGAAACAACTTACTTTTGATAATTACGTTGATAGCCAGCGCTAAGATATTCAGTTCGTCCGCTTTTATGCACAATAATATAAGATATATGATATCCACTATGAAGCAAATTATTGCAGTTATCAGATAAGGGATGACAAGCTTTTTGTTTGGCTGAAAATTCATTTGAATGCTCCTGAGGCTCGTCATGTGTAGTCATGTGTGCCAGTTACTACTTACCACACAAAGAGAAACCAAAACCAAAATGATAGAGACTATGTGAACTACATGAACCAGTATGCCAAGGTACCAGAAGATTCCCAAAATATCACTTCCTGCAAGATTCGACCATTTGTGGCGATTTCTTTCTTTCTTTCTTTAACCTTTGGAATTTTCAAACTTACCTTTATCCGACATCTGGACTGAGCCTGTAAAGAGCAAGTCAACCAATACGGCAATGAGAGCTCCCCACCTCAGTTGAAGGCAGCAGCACTTATTCATGGTTGGTATAGCCATCGCATCAGATCTTTAAGTATACGTGTATGTGTATGTATATATGGTACGTTTCAGTTGAAGCTTGAATTTGAACAGCTTGGTTTTCCCATAATTTTCCTAAGGATGCAGTACAATTACGACACCGCCTGCTCCAATCCGACTGCTAAGTTTATTCCGAGGTCGGCGGGTTATACCAAGACACGACCGTTAGCCAAAAGTAGGGAGCTGGAACTGAAGAGATAAAAATGAATGATGACAGATTGATGACCCATTTCGATTGCCCCCCCTTGAGAGTACTCACACAGACTCAGGCCTATCAGCCAAAAACTGGTGGTGCAGTCGAACGACTTGGTCACTATCCAAATTAGGATGAGGAGCAGCACAACGAAGCGCATCAGGGCAGTGGCAACGTAGGGGGCAGCCATTGTTTTCTCCTCCTAAACGAGTAAAGGGGGATGTTGGTTGGGGACGTGGAAAAGGCGGTGTATGGCCGTACCGAAAGTACGGAAACAATGATGAGTATGGAGGCGCCAATGTGAAGAACGAGGACAATCAGGCAGAATATATACATTGCATAGCCGAACCTATTGAAGTAAAAGTCTTCACCAACATAAAACTTGTACAACTGCGAACGTTTCGGAAGGGATGGCCCATAAATAGTATACGCCGGCTCTGTAAGGATCGACACATCTTTATCCACTTTGCGTCTTATCCCTGCGAGAGAAAGCCAACTTGGTTATCCCACCCACATTCATCCTCCGTGCTAACACAGGGCTTACATGGCAAGTAGCACCCGCAGAGTATACTTTGGATGATGTCCACGAACCCAATTATGAGTATTCCGTACTTCAGCTCGAAGAAGTACAGAAATTTGTCGACGATGCCCATTTCAGGAAATTTTCAAGTGTACTAGTTTTCAGAAAAGTTTATTGAAAAGAGAGCACTCGGATCCGGAGCAGGGTATTATTACGATCTTTTTTGATACGAAAGGTTACTTCTCAAATAGGTTTTCTACCGAAAAACCTTCTCCTTTATCAATTATTAGCTTAATAATCTGGAAACTAGCCCAGCAATAATGAGTTTGAATGTCTTTTTGTATATATTTTATTGCTTTCCGCAAATCATTAACAAGTTAATTCTACTTACTAAATAGAAGCTGAAACCAAACCAAAACAATAGCATTTCATATCGTCCTCTAAGGACTGAGAGGCTGAAACCTTACCGCTAGAAATCGGCGGATACTTGAAATACATGGGCTTTCGGGCTTACTCCTGCTTCGACTTCGACTTGGAGCCCGCCTCCTCGCCGAGCAGAAGGCGTCGCACCGCGGGCACCTTGAAGACCGGAATGGAGAGCACGGCGCCAGCACAAGCGCCGATCCAGTAGACGATGATGTGCTCCATGTGGGTGTGGCCGCGACAGCCCCACTTGAGGGCGGTGGCCAGGACGGGATTGAAGTAGCCGCCGGAGAAATTGAAAGCTGCAAGCAGAACATAGTTAAAGGCGTAAACTACTTAGGAGACCAGCAGTGGGCAGGCGGATCGGATCGAACAAGCGCTACGCCACTCACCTGCCACGACCAGGCTGGTGCCGATGAAGGAGTCGATGTAGCTCCCGAACCGTGGCTCCTTCTCGCTGATCGCCTTCGAGGCCAGGCGGCACAGCAGCGTGGCCACGCCCTCGATGACCGCCCCCAAGTATGGGCTGACCTGTAGGTCGGCGTTGCAGGCCTCGAACGCCCGTCCACGATGGGTCTCGGCCAGCTCCAGCCACCAGAAGACCTGCACCACGCGGTACACACAGCAGCCGCCCATCAGCTCGGCCCAGCTGCGCAGAGCCATCTCCTTGAAGCTGGTGCGACCCTCCACCACGTCCTCCATGTGTGTGTAGGGGCAGGCGGAGGCGTCGCCCCACACGCGGCCCCACCAGATGGTCAGCAGGAACAGGCAGACGGCGTACATGGACACTCCGAAGTTATCGGCCACTGGGGAGTGCATTAAAGGCGAAACTCTTCATTTGAGTCCCCCAGTTTTAAATAATATAATCAAACTTTATAATTCCTAAACTAGAGTCTGAGTATTGGTCTTTGAGTTGATTACTCATACGTACTGTTGTCTTTGACAAAAACTTTCTTGCTATTTATATTCCTCCAAATATTTGACTTTTCTTATCATTAACATACGAGTTGGAGGAAGGATTTAATTTAAAGTGTTCAATCTGGCATACGTAGCGTATGAGTAATATTTACTGAACCACACCAAACACCAAGCGTATTCATTTGAATCCCGAAAATGTTCGGATCCAAAACACGACCCAATGTAACCCAATGCATTCGATTCCCAGCCTTCCACTCACCAATAATAAGCTCGAAGCAGCAGGCACACAGCTCGGCGGCTGCGATGGCCTCGTTGATCAGGACGGGAACCAAACCCTCACGGGTCACCAGACGCCGGCAGATCACCCGAGCGATTTGGGCCAGAGCACAGCAGCCCACCATGAAGAGGGCGCTGACCCCAAGCGCTGTCGTCGACATGTCCTGCGATTGGGAAGGACACTTCTTAAATGCTTTGTTTCAAGCTGCTTTAATCTAGGGTGCGCTTATAAAAAGTGCCTCCATTCGATCAGTTAAGCAGTTACATTTGAAGTTTTAATTAAGCCTTACATGAAAGACAAATTATATTTGTTCTTTTTTGTTTTGAAAACTGAACTGGTCTCAGAATATTTGTGCAAATCATCGACAAGATCAACGAAATTTGACAAAATAAAATTACTATGAAACTTAATAAAAATATATTTCGACCGCGACTAAAACTTTTAAATGGCTAAGGCTTGGGACCCTTTAATCAAGGCCTTCTTATCTCCTGAACCTTGAACAATTTGCATATTGAACAATATTGCACACCAGTGCATTTTGTGTGCAAAAGAACTATTTCCGAATGCAGTGCACAAGCGAGATATCTAAAAATAAATGTTTTGGCTGAGTCTTGACCGCGAAAAGAAAGCCAAATAAACACAAGTAGTTGGAAAATCTTAGATGCTGCTGCAACGATGCCGTACGAAATTTGGAAACTCAGAACTGGCAGCCGAGTTCCATGTTTTTGGACATGTGCATGCACATACTTCGCAATTGTAAAGGACGAGTTGGATTATCGAATTGGCGGGTGATCGCGTTGAAAGGCTGCGAGAACTGGGCGACGACTGAGGCCTAGTACAAGTGACTTATATATTGATCACTCTCTGCGCGCCGGGAAATCATCTGGCTATGCTATATTTATCCACTGGGTCCTGACGTAATATCTCACTTGTGTGCCATAAAAAGCGCCAATTTTCAAAAGGTAACCGCAGTTCGCTGCGCGATGCTGGGTAGCACTGGCAGTGCTCATTTATCGATTGGCACCTGTCTTATCGATAGACATTTAGCCATGCATTTGTTTATTATGCAAGGTATATTAGTAAATAATGATATTAAGACGGATAATTATAACATAAAGTGCTAACCTAAATATACATGTTCAGTCGAGAAAAGTAATTTTACCAAAACCAAACACTTTGATCAAATTACCTTGCCTAAACACACACAAATCAATGAAAGTAAGTTGATTTTGCATCCACCAGTAGTGTTTATAAATTTAAATCGTATATTGATCATTTTAGTGCTGAAGCTGCTGAGCCGGGTCAGTCTTGCTAGATCGCCATGGAGGAGCTACACGTCCCTAGCTGCATGTCAGCCGGCACAGAGACGCCGCTTCGCAACAGAAGCGGCCGGAAAAAGTGCGGGCCACGAAAACGCCGGATTCGTTGAATGGCGAACCGTCTATAGTCTGTCGAGCATAAGGTTCGTGGCCGCACTTAGTAAGCTGAAAGTGTACCAGGCTGTCCTCACGGCTGCCGGAACGCCCATTGTCTTCGCCCTGGGCAGTGCCGGACAGCTAAGCACGGACGCACTGGCCATCTACGCAGCCGTGGGAGTCACAGGCCTGATCACCCTCACACTCGCCAGCTACGCGTCCACGAATCTCGTGGGCTTCGTCTACGTGAACGAGCAACAGGATCTGCTCAAGCTAGCCTACGTAGACTTCTGGGGACGGCGACAGGAGACACTCGTGGAAACCGAGGATCTGCTGCCCAGCTGGGAGCAGGGAAGTTCGTCCCGACTGCGATTCGTTTCGTCCATCTGCCTGCGCAGCGATCCCAAAAGGCGGTACAAACTTCTTAATCGCTTTGGCCATGTCAGTGATCCCCAGTTCTTTGAGGGCCTCTTTGGAGATTGAATATAGTTTTAGGCAATTGTTACGGAGTCACCCATTGTTAGTATCTGAATTACAAAATCATGTACCAGAGCCACATGTGTATTGTTGTCGATGCTCAATCTTTAAGGTCAGTCATATTTTTGTATAAAACACTTTATTACGAGTATTTTTTTAAGATCACCAACATACGGTTTTAGAAAAATATAGGCTGCTGATCAGCAACAAATAATAATGAATCATTTCCCCAATGCAATCGCCTCTTCCACCTGTGGAGATGGGAATGTTTATCACTGAGATTCCAATACTTTGAGAAACCACTTGCCGTATCCGGTAGTTTTCGGTTGAAGGTTTCCGGCAGTAGCAGCGAAAGGAGACCAGCCACAAGCGATAAGCTCCCGAAAAGAAGCAGAGGTAGTGGGTCATAGTACGAAGCCTGCCAAGAGTTAATCCAAATTATGAAGTTTCAATGAATTCAGGACTGAACTCACCAATAAAGGCACAAATGGAGCCAGCATCGCACCGAAGCGGGCAAATGTGGACATGACACCAACGCCGCCGCTTCTAATGACCTGGGACAAACGAAATATAAACTAATCTGCTGAGTTGAGCCAACTAAATGAGTTTTGTACCGTGGGCATCATTTCCGCAGTGAATGTGTAGATGACTGCAAAGGAGGAGGTGATGCCCAGTTTTCCGACAAGGAAGAGCGTCACAACCAGCCAATTGGCACCTAGAAAACAAGGTGTATATTATTACCAGATGAACAGTAGGTATGTTTAAGCGCTAAGCGGTCTTGAATCGGAATATAGGGAACTTACAACTCCACGAATGCCTACTCTTGATTCCAGTCTGGCAGGGAATCCAATCTCCTTGCGCTTAGCGTGTTTGCATGGTGATTTAGATCGTTATTATAATACTACCCTTGGTGAAAGTGAAAAATGAAAAGCAATTCCACACAATCTACTAAATGAAACCCAGTCTAATTGTGCTAAATCAACTTCTAACTGGCTAGAGCTTCGTATTTAATGATTAAAGATTTCAACGTGCAAGGTAAATACTGATCGTGACCTGATTCATATCTTACCTAGAGTGACGAATCCGCTGGCCACACACGTGATAGAGCAGAGCAGCAGGGAGCCTGAAAGTGCCATACGTCGCCCAAATCTCCGTAAGAACAACTACTGGCGGAGGATTAGGGCTGGGATTAGTCGAGGAGCCGGACGAAAGCGGTGTCAACCTACCCAGGCGAGGCTGTAACCGGGGATCTCCACGAGGCAAACCAGGGCGAAGTTCAGGTACTTGTTGCCACTCAGACTGGTGGCGTTGAGCGATAGGCCGTAGTAGACGATAGCATTGACGGCCCAAATAAACAGCAAAATGGCGTATCTGGCCATCAAAATGTGAGAGCTCACCACCTTCTTGATGGCCAACCAGATCTTGTCATCCTTCTGCACGTCCAGGCCACCCTCGGCCTCACTGCCGGTTTCCGCTTCCAGCTCCTGCTGCTTGAAGCTGGCCATCAGCTCGACGGAGATGTCTCGCCGGTTAACCTTCGCCGCCCGCCGGATAATGACACCCGCTTGCTCCCGCCGATTACGGGCCAGCAGCCACCGTACGGATTCCGGTACCAGCCAGAAGTAGGCTACGCAGATGAGCGGCGGCAGTGAGAGCGCCAGCTGCAATTGTCGCCAGTGGGGCAGGAAAAAGGAAAGGCCAAGAAGCGCCTCGCCCACGGCATAAAAGTAGTTGAGCACGATGGAGGACATTTCACGCATTCGCGGTCCGACCATTTCCACTCCGATGATGAAGGCAAGCGGGTAAACACCGGAAGTTCCCACTGCGTTCAACAAGGCAAAGACCAGGAAACTTATGTAGTCCCAGGATAGCGCCTGCGCCACTCCGGTCAGCGCCATGAACACGATGCAGAACAGGAAAATGTGCTTGCGTCCATATCTAAAATATGTGTGTATTAGGTAGCTCATATTATCAGTCTGTTCAAAAGCATAATTTGTAAGGACTCGGTGCCTACCGATCGGCAAGGTATCCGGAGAGGGCTGTTCCCACAACCAGGCCGGCAAAGTGCATAGTGCCCACGAAGGCCAGCTTCCAGAGATTCTCCTGGCATTGCATCCCCCACTGCTGCACAATGGTACGCTCCAAACTGCCGTACACAAACTGATGGCACCTCTCCGTTTCCGCCGTGAAATTCGCAGCCGAGCACTGATCCAAAGGCCACGAGCTCCCAGACTCTGATGCGGATGCAAAGTGGCTTCTGTTCGTCACGAACCTTTCACAGGTGGACGGCGTAAATTGGCCCCGCTTGCTCCAGCTGCCGGGCACGGCAATCGACACCCAAACCGCTCCATATTCCGCATCCTCCGCCTTATCGCACTCGGGCACGTAGCATCGGTAGGTCGGCGAACCTGCCGTGAAAACATACGACAGGCTGTTGGCGGCTGCAAAAAGTACGGGCAGGCATATGAGCAGATAGTTCCGCCGCTGAAAACGTCCGAATTCTCCGATCTCGACTAGGATGTCGTCGAAGTCCAGGACGGCAGACGCTGCAGCTGCCGCTGGAGCTGACATTCTAAAGTGAATATGGGTTTAAGCCCAAAGATTCCGGATTTTACGGCACTTGACCTGCGATTACAATAGGTAATTATAAGGCATTCTAGTTTTGATCACGTGGCTTCGAGAGTGTACATATATGAATATATATCAGAAATAGAAATGCGTGCACCATACACTTTAAAAAAATTAAAGAAAAACTTGTTTCCTAAAAAAGTAAACCCCCGTGTCGAACGAAACTCCATTAAATATCAAATAAATTAACTTGTACATAATTCTATGTAGAGTATAATTGCTGAATTGCTGCTAAAGAATCCATGTAGACGATATTAAAGTCGATGTCATGTTTCTTTTTGTTACACATTAAGATCGATGGATATACTGTTTGATCTTGTTGTTGATTTAAACAAAGCACCACTCAATGTAAAAACTGTCCAAGTTTCCGGAATTTATATGCATGCACGCAATCCAATCATTGTCAATTGAGACAAAATGCTGCATCTTAGAAAGCGTAGCGTCTTCCAAGTGCTGCAGTTGACAACTGGAGAAGATGCATGATTGAAGCGTGCCAGCCCAGAATCATGCATAATGGACGAACAGTGTGGGAAGTAGCCAGGGGTGATGAAGTTGTTAAAATGAGCATTCCATGTCACGTACTTTTGCAAAGGTCAGGGCTGGGATTGGGTTGGGCTATTGCATCGGATTGGTGGGAACCTCTGCAGGCTGTTGAACTACGTCGCCCAAATGTCCAGATAATACTGCCTCATTATCTAATCACTCAGAGGTTTAACGATGCACTCAGAGGCGCTTCTGACCATCGGCTCTCGCTCACCAGACCGAATAATTACCGGAGACTCACTGGCTAAACACTTGGCAGGTGTACGTAAGTTGCTTTAAAGGGTCTCCATTCACAAAATATTACGCGCCTTTTCCTACGACATCCGGGTCCGGCAATTGGCTTCGAATTCCGTATCCGGTCCGTATCGCTTGCAGTCTGGCGAAACACTGAATTGTCTTGAGAAATCAAATATAAACGCACGCAGAGAGGCAAACAGAATTGCCAGAGAACTACATATATCTTCGTGCTCAATCTGAAATCAAAGTAGCCGGCATATTAAAATCGATACCGAGAGAGTTTGAGGGATACTTTCTCTTACAGCGAAAGCGGCTAAGAGAATCGCACGATGATCACAAATAATATTTTAGATATACATATCTGGAAAACTTTTGTATTGTCCAAGAGCAGTTAAAGTAAGTAGGAAAGCGATTAAAACTTATTTTCGAAACAGCAACACGTTTTTAGAATAACTTAAAAATGGTCATTTATAGTTAACAAATAAATTCAAAAACCATTTTTATTTGCTTGAGGCATATTTGTTTATGTGTGTCGTGGATCAGTTCAAGGCGTAAGCCCAATATCAAGGAAATCCTATGCAAAATGCAGCAAAGGATTCACTTCTTCAGCTTGATGAACTTCGAGGCGAACTCGTAAATGCCCACAGAGTTGTTGTTCTTCTGGTCGTACTCCACCCAATCGTCCTCGGATAGGTCCACCTCCTCGAACTGCTGGCCATTTTCAGCGGATGAGACGCGCCATCCGATGCGGGGTGAGAATTCGACGGGCTCTGCGCCGCGGCACTCGAAGACCACGATGGTCTTAAATCCGCCGGAGTCGTCCGCGGTGTAAGGAGCTGTGAGGATGGTATCACTCAGGAATTAAATGGGGCTTCGTTACTCAAAGCAAACCACCTACCATTCGACCTATCCACGATGTCAATACTATTCTCGCGGCTGCACATCTTGCATTTCATGAAAAAGTTAAAGCCGGCCGCATTGCGCGAATCCTGTTGCACACGTTCGGATTCGGTGATATCGTGCCATTTGTCCGACTGCTCGCCGCAGTTGCTGCACTTCAGTTTCAAGAAGAACGAGTAGTCGGGATGACACGTCTCCAACTTGTCCACGTTCTCCAGCGTGGCGGAAATCTGAAGGCCCACACGCACCATATTTATAAAAGTTAATATTTATATTTCAGCGATTAGCAGCAATCAGCTGCTTGGCAGGGTTGCCGGCTGGCCACCTTTGCTGTCTGTCATTGCAGTGGCAACGCCATCAGCAAATTACATATTTTTCTGCACAAAACAAAGCATTAAAAAAATAATTCGAATAAAATAGAATTAAGTATGGATTTGAACATGAAACCCTCTCTGGCTGCTGACGAAATGTTTTCCGAAGGCCCTGGCTACATGGAAATGGACGAGGTAAGTCCTCAAAAATAGCATCCAATCGAAAAATATGGCTTATCCTTGTAGACAACATTACAATTAAACGCATTAACTCATTATTCTTTATTAACATCACACAGCTTTTATAGGTTTTACTTTAATAGTTTAATAGCTAACTGCACAATCCTAAGAGGTAGTATTTCCCAAGACCAGGGAATCTAGATTCAATGAACATCTTCCATAGACAGTTTTTTGTGAGGCCTGTGAGGTACTTGTATATTAAGTGGTGTATTTATCAATTTGTTCACATGCCTAGGGATTTATCCAATGCTCATGATAATATTCTACAGAACATTTCAAAAGCTGCCGCCATAAACGCAAGACTAACATTATGGTTTCCTCTATTGTATTCCTTTAGTCCGGCGGAGCCACAGGAATGATGATGGACCACCTGCCGTCCAGCGAAAAGCACGTCCACGCTGACTTTTACAATGATTTCGATGATCTGTTCGACGACGACAACTGGGCCAAGATGAAAACCGATGGGAAACAGTAGATGCCACCACACAATGTATGGATTGAAAGCAATTCGTTTTTCTCTTTGTAATTTTACTGCACAATCATCAGCGATCATCGGTGTATAAAAAATTGCTGCAACTACTGTTTAATCGCTATAATATTATATTCATTTGGTTCGTATAACTAACGTAAATTGCCATGTGAAGATAGTGCCGAGGTGGATATGAACTTTGGCGTAGCGTAAATCAACAAAATGCATAAATTTTGTACAAAAAAACGAAACTAGTAACTAAATTTATCGAACTGAGTTGCAGGTGGAATGAATCATAATTAAGATTCATACAAATGTACACAATAACCTAGTGGATCCGTGGAAGTTGTTAACCAAGTTGTAGGCCCTCTGCGAAGCTATCCATCCAACGGTGTGCCCAGATAGACCATCGAGACCTCGGTATTGCCGTAGACAGCGGATACTGTGGGATAGAGCTTCTTGTCCGGAAGGCCTGCGAACAAAAAGTGTATAGAATCCGAACGCTGGTATCATCGGACTAATTCGCCTTACCGCGGAAGGCCACACCAAGAAACTCGTAGTTTTTCTCGAACGACAAGGTGTTGTCCTCGCAGTCAAGGATGACACGTATCCGCTCGCCCACTTGGTACTTGGGAGCGTTGTTCAGCAGCGGGTAACTGCCCTGCATGTCGCCGTTGTGCAGCAGGTGGTTCTCGACCAGATTCCAGCCCCAGCTCTGGTCGTCGGAGCCGAGAAGAGCAACATAGCCGTGACACTGAAGAGCCGCTTCCTTGGTAGATATGCCGATGACGGCTACGGTGCCCAGCGGTCCCTCCCATATCACCTCCCAGGTGTGACGACCGTGTCGGAATCCGATTTTGCCCCGGGCCGCGTCTGTGCTCTGCGCCACGGGATTGCTGCGGGAATGGAAGGATACATTATCGATACCAACTCAAGCTATCCAAAAGCCTTACCGATGCAGGGTGAAACCATTCGGCTTGATGTACACATTCCGCGAACAGTCGTTGGGGCTCCAGGCGTGAAAATAGGCCCGCAGCTTTGTCTTGTATGTGGAGACGGAGGACAGCAGGTCCGATTTGAGGGCCTCCTTCGGCAGCTTGTTCAGGCAGTGCCAGCGCCAGACGTCGCTGTTCTCGTCGTTGAGGAAGTGATACCAACTTTTGCACACCTGCGAGCAGTGACTGAGGTCCTCCAGCTCCAGGTAGGAGAATATCACCTCCAGCACATTGTAATTGCACAGCGCCGCCACAGGATCAACCATTGTGTGCGTCTGCTCCGCTGCTGGGCTGCTGGGCTCTTGTAGATAGCTGCTTGGATTTACCCGTTCCTGTTGATTGTCATTTTTCCACACCAACCAAATGGGGAAGAAAAAAACTCCAAAACTTTAATATTCTGCGATTCAAGGTGACCGTTGGTGGGCTGGCAGCGAAATACCACTCACCTGGACAAAGTGGCAACTTTGTTTACATCCGCGACCAGTGCGGCAAAGCGACCGTGGCACACAGCTGCTTACAACACTGCGTAAATTGATGCGTAAATTGGCGCGCACTGTCTGCCATTTCATTCGCACCCGCACACAGCCTGCTTTGCCTTTCCCACATGAAAACGAAAAGCAGCCACTTTGTGGAAATTTTGTGACCATTTTGCTGCGCTTAGAAATTGCGGAAATACGCGCTTCTGCCTGCCGTTCGAAAGCTAATAGTCCGCCGAATCTTTTGCAACTAATCGCGTAAAAATCCGTGCGCCGCAACACCGCGAAAAAGGCCACCGAAAAAGGGCCGCCGCTGTGAGTGTGTGTGAGCAGCAGAAAAGAAAAAAAAAAATGCCCTGCCGCTGGAAGTGAAAAATTCGCTCGCCATTTTGACTCGGGCGACACTTATTTTTTGTACAAGTGCGCTCCCCATCGTCGTTGCAGTCGTCGTCGTGGTCGTGGTCCGCATCCGGATTTGCACACGTGCCCCAGTCCGTGGGTGCAAAACGTCCGCCCGCCCATCTACCCACCGCCGTCGCCCCTTTCCAGCTCCATTTGCCCCCCAGTACACACGTTGCGGCAACGGCACGTAGCACTGCTGTTTCTTTCTGTTTTTGGCGGTCCACCTGGTAAGCGGCAACAACAACAACAGCAACAGCAAGATCACTTGATCTCCGGCGACCAAAAAATGGCGCATTCGACGGGCGGTACGGTGAAGGCCGATGAGGTGAATTTCTTCTTCCGGAATGAGCACGGTAAGTGGGCGGAAGCAGAATCCTGTGACAGGAGTTTTGCTCCTCCTCTCTCCTTCCCTTTCCACACATCCACATGCACATACACACACCCCCTCATACACACACCGACCCACACAGATACGCTACAAAGTTGCATGGGCAGCGTAAAACGCCATCTTTGCTTTTTCGGGTTTCTTTTGCCTACCATATTCATCGTTTGATACGCTTTGCGGGGGGAGAGCAGCGAGACGAACCGAAAAGAGTGCTAGGAATTGGCAAAAAGTAATAATAAAAGACAGAGAGACCCCCACTAAATAACAACTTAAATCGGTGAGCCACCCAGCCCCGCCCCCTCCTACCATCTACGCCCATCACCCAGTTGGCGCGCTCACTCACACACACACGTACGCACACTAGCACGCGCCCCCGGGGATGGACTACATACTCGACGAGACAAGGAGCGCCGCGATCCTGACAAACGGGGTAAGCCGACCAAGGAACCTGCGCATCGGCTCATTCTATGTCCGGGGGGTGGTTGGTGACCTGTGCCTGTACAGCTGTTACCTACCACCACGCCTAACCCTTCAGGAGTTTTCAGCAATTATAGAGGACCTGGCTAACGACGCAAGAGGAGAGCGGAACGTGGTCATCGCGGGGGACTTTAACGCCTGGGCGGAAGAATGGGGCTCAGTCCACACGAACGCAAGAGGACGAACCCTCCAGGAAGCGTTCGCGTCGCTGGAAGTTGCTCTCTTAAATACGGGATCGGAGCACACCTTCAGCAGAGCTGGAGCCGGGTCGGTAGTGGACCTTACCTTTTGCAGTAGCTCGCTATTCCAGCGCGCACAGTGGTCCCTCAGCGACGTATACACGGCCAGCGACCACAAAGCGATAATCTGTGACCTTACCAGCAGAAGATGCACCGCAGCCCCACCAACGCAGAGGCAATTCAACCCAAGGACGCTCCAGCGGGACACGTTCCTAAGGGAACTTGGGAATCCTGACATCGGCGGGAACGCAGTGGACAGCGTGGAGTGTCTCACTCGAGCAGTTGAGACGGCATGCAGAGCCAGTATGAAGGTGTCGAGGAGCCATCACCGTCATCGGGAGCCAGTCTATTGGTGGACAGAGGAGATCGCAGAGGCACGCAGAAATTGCCTACGGGCAAGACGGCGCCAGCAAAGGGAGCAGGGCCTCCCCAACTACGAGGTCCGGAGGCAAGAATACGCGGTAAACCGTCGGATCCTGAAGAGACTCATCAAGCAGTCAAAAAGGAGATGCTTCCTGGATCTATGCGATTCAGCCGAGCAGGACCCATGGGGATCAGCGTATAAAATAGTAATAAAAAAGCTAAGTCAAGCGAAACCTCTGAAAGCCGGAGACGCCGCCCACATGACGGCGATCGTGGAACACCTGTTCCCAGCAGTGCCCTTGGCTCCGCAAGCTGCAGACGCGGCTCCTGCGGACGCATCGGCACTGATATTCACAGCGGACGAAATACGCAAGGTAGCCAGGGATTTGCCATCGGGAAAAGCACCAGGGCCAGATGGAATCCCGGACATCGCCATCAAGCTAGGAATGAACGAGCACCCGGAAGCCTTCGCAAAGGTTTTCAACCAGTGCCTCACGGAAGGCCTTTTCCCAAAGCGCTGGAAGAGACAGAAGCTGGTACTCCTTCCAAAACCAAACAAGCCTCCCGAGAGTCCATCGTCATACAGGCCGATATGCCTGATTGACCACTTGGGCAAAGCTTTCGAGCGATGCCTGAGCAGTAGACTGCAGGTAGCCATCTCCGCTGCAGGGGACCTTTCGCCAATGCAGTTTGGCTTCAGGAAGGCGAGATCTACCGTGGACGCGATCGCTACAGTGAAGGAGATCGCCTCGAAGGCAGTGCAAGGGACCAGGTGGCAAGGAGGCACCAAGGAGTACTGTCTAGTGGTGACACTAGACATCCGTAATGCGTTCAATTCGGCAAGATGGGACGTCACCATAGGAGCCCTACGGAACCTAGGCGTACCGGATGCATTAGTGGGCATTCTTAAGTCATACTTCAGCGACCGAGTACTAGTCTACGACACAGAAGGGGGCACACTGGAGCACAGGGTAACCTGCGGAGTCCCACAAGGCTCAGTACTTGGGCCACTGCTGTGGAATGCGATGTACGACGGGGTGCTGAGATTACCACTACCAGGAAGAACCAAGGTGATCGGCTTCGCCGACGATATTGCCATAGTAATTGTGGCAAAAACAGTTCGGGAAGCCGAGGGCCTTGGTAATGCATCTATCTGCACCATAGTGGAGTGGCTCACATCGGTCGGGCTAGATATCGCAGACCACAAAACGGAGGCCGTGCTGATATCCAGCCGCAAGCAGGTCGAGACAGCCACCATCCAAGTCGGTGGCGCCACCATCACGTCGGTAAGGGCAATCCGGTACCTTGGAATTATGCTAGACACCAGGTTGTCGTTTAAAGAACACCTGGCGGAGACAAATCGGAAGGCGGCGAGCGTCGCTAGGGCCCTAGCACGAATAATGCTCAACTGCAGGGGCCCTAGGCAGGGACGCAGGCTTCTGCTACAGTCTGTCTGTAGGGCGACAGCACTATACGCAGCCCCCATATGGGCCGAAGCTACCAACAGGCAGTCTTACATCAGGGGCCTGGAAGCGACGCACAGACTGTGTGCCCTGAGAGTGTGCTCCGGTTTCCGGACAATATCGGATGACGCAGCCCAGGTCATAGCTGGGACCATCCCAATAGACTTGTTGGCGGTAGAGGCAAAGGAGATCTTCGACGCGATTAAGCAGATCGGAGAAGAGTGCAGCACTGCTCAGAGGCGAGCCATAAAAGCCAACGCCAGAGCTCATAGCTTGGAAAGGTGGCAGAGTCGGTGGC